TTTAAGGCTCAGTCTCATAGGAGTTATTATTAGAAAGTGAATTATTCACTTTGTGGTTCTGATCTCCTAAAAAAAAATAATTTCAAAACTGAGAGTGATGTGTAGGACCCAGCTGCAAAAATTCAAAATCAGCTACATGCAGCTGTATTCTTGTTCCCCTAAGTCACCTAACAGCTTTTAGTGGGTTCTATAAGTGACATTAGAAAAGGCACAGCAGATGTGCAAGATGGCGCCTGAAATCTAAAGTGGCACAGATGGTCCACTGGTTGATTGACAGCATGAGGAGCAGCGCAGCAAGCGTCACCTCCAGGGGAGGACGCCCCCCACCCCCTGCATTCTGCCTGCCAATCGAACTGCCATACAAGGGCGGGGGGGGGGGGGGGAGGGGGGAAGCAGGGATGGCTATTCAGAAAGTCTTTGTTTTCAAATATTCACTGTAGTGAAAAGATTCTCAGCAAAAAAGAGTTGCCTAGATGTGGAAAAAATTCTCCTTCTCTAACCAACCAAAGAATTGACTTGTTGCATAGTTACAACAAAGTAGACAGATTCGTGTACTTGGTTCAACCACCTAACAGCATTGATTAATACCGGACTATTTCATCATTGGAAGGCCTATATTGCCCTTAAAAATCAACTTCTTGTTTTAAATTTTAATGAGAAAGCCAGACAATTATTTGTGGTTGTTAATCAGGAATTTACAATCTAGGTTATATTACCTGTAATTTTATCTCTCCAAATTCCTTTCTGGTCCTTTAGCTCTTCAAGAAAAATTTTTTTAAAAGCCTGAACTTTAAAAAAAAAAAAAAGTTTACACTTATTGCATGTAAACTAAGTGCTGGATTCTGGGCTGGGTGCTTTCCTGTAACTTTATACAATTTAGGATCTCAGAGATATTAATCAAGTCTTTTTTCTCAGGTTTATATTAATACACATGGGCCCCTAATTTTATTGATGCTTCTCATCATCTCTTCTGCTAGAAAAGGGAAACCAAGCACAAAACATGCCCCAGGAAAATATATGCAAGTGTAAGTTCAGATGTGCAGGTGGCCTGAACACCTTAAAAAGGTCATATTAACCACAAAGGCCAGATATGCCCAATTAACATGAAGGCTGAAATCTGGGGCTCCTACCTAGAGTTGCACCTGATAGGAGCCTCCGTCCTGTCTCCTGTATCTCCATCCTACCAGCTGCACCTTGGCATGGCTACCATGCTCCCTGGGCATCCAGAACATAAATATTTATGGCAACCCCAAGGGCTCTTTGTCCACGATGGGCAGTTACATGCCCTTGGGCTGAACTTCCTGACATTTAAAAGTAGAGAAGAGCTGAATGTCGCTCATGGTTCTTATCAACTATGGAATACATGGGCATGCCACTGCGCTTCATCTCCTGCCAGCTTCCCTCAGAGGACCTCAGAGAAGGTTGCTCAAGCCGCAGAGAACTGGCCTGGGGGCTGTGTCCACAGCGCACCCCAAAGGCTGCGTGGATCGATGGCTTGTGGCACACTCATGGAACACCAGCTGGGAAATGTGCCTTATGCTAGTAATTATCCCTTCTCATTCCCATATTTTCAACTCTTCTCTTTACTGGTTCTTTCCCTTTAACAATTACTGTCAAGACTCTATGAAATTAAAAAACAAAGACAAAAATAATCTTCATCCACTTGTTATTTGCCTTTCAGCCGGCACTGCATGAATTTCACCAAATAGCTGAGCTTTTGTACAGAGTAGTCTATACTTTTCACCACAATATTCCCAGTCAGTCTTTTCTTATCCTGTTGTAATCTAGATTTTAATGAAACTACTTTTGCCAAAGTTACATGTAACCTTATTGCTATATTGAATGGGTTGTTCTCAGTCCTTATCAACATTTGATATGATTGACCTTTCCTTCTTCTTGGAACATTCGCTTCCTCGGTTTCTCTGACATTCCATTTTGAGCAATCAATATGTGTTGAACACTAAGAATAAGATATAATCTATACCCTTAGGGGACATAAATGGAAATATGCTGAATAATAATTGTGATCAGGAAGTTCAAGCATTTATCTGATAAGACACACTTTACTTGACACTGAAATCAAGGTATTTATTACATGGGCTTCATTTATATGAATTATTGAGTATCCTAAGTGAGTCCTTTATAATTATTTTTTCAAAGTTAGCTCTAACAAGTAGACATTTCTTAGGGTGACATTTCATTAGATCTTAAGTTCAGTGGAGGTATTTTGAAGTGAGTTGATTTAATTTAACGCAGGTAGGTGGATTTTTGGTGATCTCACAGTTCCACATTAACTTACCATGTGTCTGAACTGGTTAATAAATCCAGTAGCCTCTATCAAATGTGAATCAACTTCCAGTTTGGATCCTATTAATATATGTTTGAATTCTTTGATTGTTGTATCGCCCAATTGCTAATGGACTCAATATCTCTAAATGCCAGAAAAATGTTTAGAATCTTATTTGTTTCCACAGAAAAAGCACCATGCTCTTTTATCAATAGAAATCCAATTTATTAATTAACTTTATTGCTGAGAAATATGTGGGCCACAGAAAATATACTCATCAGTATCTACCATGTGCTATGTGTTAGGCCTGGCTCAGTAAATATAAAAAATATGATAAAATTGAATTCTGGAATCTTACAATCTGGTCAAAAAGCAAAGAACAGAACAGATTTTGCTTTATCACACAGCTCACCCAGTAGGTCTTCTAATCTTCTTTTTATTTCTTCTTTTATAAACATGCATTCAACAAGAAGTAAGAAGTAAGAATAAATAAGAAGTATTTATTGCCCTGGCTGGTGTGGCTCAGTGGACTGATGCTGGCCTGTGAACTGAAAGGTCATGGGTTTGATTTCTGGTCAGGGCACATACCTTGGCTGCAGGCCAGGTGACAGGCAGCCGATCCACATCAATATTTTTCTCCTTCTCCTTCCCTTCCTTTCTCTATAAAAATAAATACAATATTTAAAATAATAATAATAATAATAATACTTTAAGAAATATTTATTGCCCTGGCTGGTGTGGCTCAGTGGATTGAGCGCCAGTCTGAGAGCAGAAAGGTTCACTGATTTGATCCCCACACAGAGCACGTGCCTGGGTTGCAGGCCAGGTCCCCCATTGGGGGCGTGTGAGAGGCAATTGATAGATGTATCTTTCACACATTGATGTTTTTCTCCCTCTCTTTCTCCCTCCCTCCCCCTCTCTCTAACAGTAAATTAAAAAAAAATCTTTAAAAACAGGAAGTGCTGGGTTATAAAAAAATAAATATTTATTGATCTTACACTATGTGCCAATTATTTTGATGCCAGACAGACTCCTACTCTTATGGCTCTTTTAGTGATGGGGCAGGAGAATATATAACAAATAATTGTTTTAGATCAAGATAGGTGCTATGAAAATAAACAAGGTATCATGGAGAATGACTGGTGTACTACTTTAACTGGGTGATCAGGGAAGGCCTGTTTGATAAAGTGCCTCAGGAGATGTCAGCTGCAACCTGAGACTTAGAAGCCAAGTGAACATCTAGGGTAAGTGTTCTCAAGGAAGGAACAGCAATTGCAAAGGCTCTGAGCCCAGAAATAGCTTAGCATGTTCCAGGAACAAAATGAATATTAATTTAATTACTAATATCAATTATATTGAGAGTGTAAAGATTTATGAGCCAAGGTCTCTGTCCTAAAGGAGCTCTGTAACAGACAGACATTAGCAAAAATAACACGATACAGTGCATAACTGTACAGGATACAGTGACAAAAAGTTTGTATGAAGAGGTGCTAAGAAGGAGTGATTAATCCTCTGGGGTATGTTTCTAAGAAGGCTTCACAAAGGAGGTAATATAAAAGCAGGACTTTGAAATATCAGTAGAGGTGACAAGGCAGGGAAGAGGGTTGGGGGAAGGGGGACAGGGCACAGCATACAGGTGCAGCGCAGGTGGTGTCTTTCAACCATGAACACAAGATGAACACAATAGAAGTAAGCGAGGCTCAAAAGGACAAAGGCCAAGCCATCAAAGGCCTTACATTCTGTGCACAATGGGAACAATCAAAAGGCTCTAAGGAAGAAACCACAGGACTGGATTTGTGCCTCAGATGGATCATCACAGGCTCTCTCTCTCAAATACAACTGTGGGAGAATAAGTTAGGCGCAGTTCTAGAAGCGGTGACAGAGATGAAATGAGGATAGTAGCAGAGGGGCTCGGAAAGAGACTAGAAATCTGAGAGGTTTTTAAGGAGCTGATGAAAAAAACGGGTAGAGCGGATTGTTCACTGCTGAGCCAACGATAACTTTAAGTATCTGACTCGTAACAGGCACTCAATATTTGAGAATGAATAAAGGAATGAATGGTGAATGGGTGTGGCATCATGCTGTCTGATGAACACAAGTCTTATGCACCACGTTCAAATATAAACTCTTCCATTCATAGAGAACATGAGTGCTTAAGCCTTTCTAGGGTGTGTTGCTTTAATTCTAACAACCCTATGAAGGTTGTTATTGACATTTCTCAGATAAGAAAAACCTGAGGCTCAGAGAGGTAACGTACCATGTTCCCCAGGTTCTACAACTAGTCACAAGCTAGACTCAGGAGTCTGAACCCCAAGTGCCCATGCGTGGTTAATTACTACTTTATACTACTTAGCTCAGAGGTTCAAAAATGAAGTGAATATGGTAAGCCTAAAAACAGAGACATCTATGAAAAGTCGATAACTTTCAACAAAGAGATAAGAGGGGGTTCCAGAATTTCTCTGCTAGTCGGTCACTAGAAGATCAGAGCGGTGCGTCACAACAGCCTGAAGCAAAGATTTGCCCCGCGCTCTCGGAGGGAGGCGGGGCGGAGCTCCCCGTCCGCGGAGGTGGCGAGCGCAGCCGCAGTACAGCTCGAGAGCGCCTAGGCCTGGGGGAGCAGGAAGGAGGGCCGAGCGGAGGGAGGCGCAGACACACGCAGGCGCACGCGTCTATTCCTTGGCTGCTCGCCTTAGACGCCGCAGGGAGGGCTGGCGTCATTTCCCTCCGGACCTTGCCAGTGCTTCCGGGTTGCGGTCATTTTGATTCCCTGTCTGGGTGACTTTTTGGCTACCCAGTTGCTGTCGGCGTTCCATCCCCCCCCAGCTCAGGTGCGGCCCCGCGCGACCTCCGATTTCCGCCCTTGTTCCTCCCTTCTTCATCCGTCTGGGCCCTCTGTCCTCGATCGTCTGGATTCACCGCGCCATCGCTCGAGGCTGTCGTCTAAGGTGGGTGAGGTGACGCAGAGAGCCCCGTCCCCCACCCCCCTTCCCACCTACCGCCGCACCACCTCAGCGTGGCCAGCCGCTACCCTGCGCCTTCCGCCATTTTCGCGTTTGTGAGAGTGGGCCGTTCGCGCTCTGGGTCTCGGGCTTCGGAGTGCTGGTGACCGGGGGAGGGAGGAAGAGGGCGGGAGAGGGAGTGTTTCTGGGGGATGTGACTAGGACAGCCTCAGGATGACGGATGTGTGTGTTGGGGCGTCTGTTGCAGGTGGATGTGCAGATACAGCGGGTGGGGGATGGAGTGCGAGAATCTTGCGACGTGGGTCCAATTCAGTTCTTTGTGATATAAGAGATTAAAACGATATTGTCCAAAGAGGATTTTTAGGCCTTCACAGTCTTGTTTTAGGATTTCTGGGTAGGATGCTGTTTGGGAAATAAGAGGGTTTCACTTCTTTTACGGATGTTTTAGGATGAGTAGTATATTCAGCAATTTCCATCCATGAATTCATCGTACCTTTCCTTAGCGAAGGGAGTAGTATGTCGTAGACCCTCGGTGATGGCCTATTGAGTAGGGAGTTACGGAAGGGCCCCCATTCCTGTCGTCATCATGTGTGCCATTTCCCCATTTCACGTAAATTGTTTTTAAGGTGGGGGATAATGATGATCCTATGTGAAAATTCTGCAAAATACAAATTATCTCGTCTTTTGGTCTCTTAATTCTCCAGGCATAGGTTAAAACAATAAAAGTGTTCTTGAAATGTTATAGGTTTTTGTATGTCATATTCTTCTACTTGAAAAGGGAGGAAAGTTTAGAGCATACAGAATTTAGTGTTAGCTTCACACCGGTGTCTTTGTTACTCCAGTTTTTGGGAGTACTGCTTTGTGGGATACGTTGTATGTTTCCTGGTAATTATTTAATTTTAAAAAAGTAAGCCCCGAAATAACCTTTGAAGTTTTTCTTATTCCATTTTGGAGAATTATTCTAATCATGGGGCATATATTTTTGAAAAGATCTAAACCTAGGACAAGGTGAAATAAACCAGCTTCAGGAGGAAGAAATAGTATCTTATTATATTGATATCTTTTTATATCTTAACAATATAATCAGTTGGTAAATCATTTACTTACAAAACATGTATTCTTTTTCAGTTAAGGGTCCTAAGATGAGTAATTAATTCCAAATAAATACATCTGTGACTTGTTTATTTGGGTAGTTTTTTATTATGTCAACTACTTCAGATATAGTAGTGTTCAGTAAATACTTGTTGATTGATTGCCATGAAAACTAGTAATATTACTAGACTATATTCTGGTTTACTTTGACCTATCTCATAATTGTTTCTAATATTTAATATAAATGTTCTTGATGCAGGAAAGATGAATGGCAGGGCTGATTTTCAGGAGCCGAATGCTGAAGTTAGAAGACCAATTCCCCGTAACTATCAATTAAGTATTTATGATTAGAAGCAGTTTGTATGTAGAGAAATTTTTGCAGCCTTGACTAACAGTATAGCAGCTGGGTTAGCTTGCTTCATGGGTGTGTGAACTCTGCAGTCACAAAGGGAGACACACGTGGTTTAATGGTCTGCTCTTGCCATCTTGAAATTCTTAATAATTGGAACAAGTTGTTCCATCATTATTTTGCGTTGGACATAACACGTTATGTAGACAATTAGTAGATAGTTTCATTAGCTTCTGTTTGAAGTCAGTTTGTAAAAAGTATATAATAAGCCTATTGTATAATTTTTAAAAATGGGTGTGTTATGTTATATTTAGATTAAGGTAAATTTTTTAGACTTAGTTTTTACACAGGTGTTTTAATGTTTGCTGATTTTCCTTGGTAAAAAGACATAGGAGCTGATTACATTCCAACAGAGGAAGAAAGAAGAGTCTTCGCAGAATGCAATGATGAAAGCTTCTGGTTCAGATGTAAGTTAAATTTTATAGTCGATAAAATTTTACCTTTAGTGCCTAAAATTTTAATGACTTCATATAGAAAAAATTAGCACACTTTTGGTGTCATGTGATTATTACTGAAAGAGAATTGTATGCATTTTATAGTAATGATTTTTAGAACTTTTTCAAGACTGTGAAATATCTTTGTTCATAATAGTAATAGCATTTTCAAAGTGTATGTGGAGTGTATTAAAAAAACACCAAATGGGGTTGGTAACTATTACCCTCACTTTACAGATGAAATTGAGGGTTAGCAATGTGAAATGGATTATGTAGTGCACACAGCTGGTAAGTCGTGATGTCTGGATTTGAAGCCAGGTCTGTGAAACAGAAGCTCATGATGTTAACTATTACATTTTAGCCATTACATGATGAAAACTGATTAGTTCCCCCCTTTACCATTTTGAAATGTTACCAGCTTTTGATTTCTGACGAGAGACCTTATACATGAAGATTTTAATTTTAAAATACAAAGAATGTTGAAAGCTACATAAAACATTACCTTACCTTTGAACAGAACCTGGTGTTGCTTCACTGGTCATTGCAGGCCTTTCAGTTAAGGTAATTGTAACAAAAAGCAGAATGAAATTTTGAAAAGGGAAGAGTGACCTGAGTAGTTAAAGAGGATGTACGGTTTTATCAGTCAGCCTGGTATTTATGCTTACTGTGCGTGAGGTGGTGTGCTTGGGAGAGAAGTTTCACTAAACACAGTCTTTGTCCTAAAGTAGTTTTATGGTGTAGTTGAGAAAGCCAATTCATGAAACACTTTGAGAAAGATTAAGTGCAAAACAGCAATGGGAATTTTTAAGAGGTAAACTAATTAGTTAAAAAAGGCTTAATCAAACAATGGAAACTTGAGGAGTAGACATTTAGGTAAATGGAGAATGGTGGCGAAGCATTTAGATGAAAAGAATAGTGAGAAAAGGCAGATTCTGCAATGACATGCTCTCTACGACAGCCTTGAAGTTGCACTGATTAGAATAGAGGTCTTTTGTTGGGGTAGAAGAATGAACATAATGCTAAGGAGTTAAAGGTTTGATTCATTATAGATTGTAGGTTCTTGGGCCAAGGGGATGATATGTAAATTTTTTTAAAGGAAGATTAGTTAACAGTGTATGGGATAAGTTAAAAGGGTGAGAAATTGTTCTTGGTGAAATCTGCCATAGCTTTTGGCAATAGTTCAGGGAAATGGTCATTGAGAGGATGAATTGATTGTAGTGTCATTTGGACTAGAGAAGATTGACAAAAATTTCATCGATTTCATTGACAAAAAAATGAAAGATTTTTTAAAGGACATATAATTTTTAAATAGATTGAGAGAGAAATGAAGAAAATACTAACTTTAAGTTACCCAGCTTCTGAGAGTAATGATAACAATGATTAAAAGGTACAGTTTTAAGGAGTTCTTGTTGTTGTTATTTTGTTTGAGAGACCCTGTTGTCAAGGTATCTGTGTGGTCCTTGCACATTGATTGGGTTCACAGAGGGGTGACTTGGGGCCCCAGGGACTGCGGGCAGCACTGCCCTGGGACGCATTGGACTTCTTGTTTGAAGAAGGAAAGTAGTTTGCACATTTGAAGTTCATGATACAGCATCTGGTGGTGGATGGTCTGTACAGAACTAGAGATGAAGACAAAGGTGTATATGAGATATTAGCATTTGTGGTGTAGGTGTGTTGGTGAATTCACCAAGAAATTGTACAGAAATAAAAGCATAAAACTGGTAATAGTATCTGTCACATGGTCAATATTTAGGAATGATGGAATGAATGACAAAGTTTGGGTAGCATGCATGGATAAGCGAGCCAAGTGGTGGTGGAAGGGTGAACAAAGACCAAGAAAGAGCAGTTAAGATAATAGGAGCTCTGATAAAATCTTTTGCACTTTATCCTCAGTCTCATATTCAGAGACTTAAAGAGGTTCCAAGTGAGAGAGAACCTGTGTGAGAGGTGATGATGTACATCTCTAGGTGAGAATAATTGTTCTAAATGCAGTCATGATGGATCAAGGACTTCTAAAAAATTTACATGGCTTATAATATGAGAACTCATTTGTACTCTGCCAACAGATATTTTTATCTTCAAGGATTGCATAGAGTAGATACTGTACAATAAGGTGATCTGTTTTCAAGTCTGTTGATAATACAGGATTAAGAAAAAGACATTTGGTAGATAGGGTTTGAGATCATTGTAATATTAGGCTAATGGCCACATAGATGCTATGGTGTCCAGATTTATTTCTGGCTGATAAATTTATGCCATTTATGTTAAACTGTAAATGTTTAACATTGCAGATAGAACAGAACTACGCTAAAAGTACATTGAAGGGCAGTGATCAACAGGTAGGGTACCTATGTATGCTTGCCTATTGAAAGTAGGACATATAATATAGGAACAATAGAAGAAGCCTAAGTAATTCTATTAAAACAGATTAGTCACAAGTTAGAAAACATGTAATAAGGATAGGCTAAGAGACAGCTTGTTGTATATCTTATCTAGAATACTGGGAGATTGCAGCAGCCAAAAAATAAGTAGTGATTACTCTTAAAAAAGAGATACCTTGGTGTTGCATAATGTAATAACATCAAACATTGAAAGAACATCATACATAGAATCTTGGCTGTAACTATACACAATGGGGAATTCAACATATAATTACCAGGAGATAGAATAATAGTCATGCATTAAGAAATTCTGTACTTTACGTTTTTATCTTGACATAAGGATATTCTATGTAGTATGTGATGTTTACATATATTCAGGTAAACAAATAATGGAATCCATGTTTCTTTGGACAGTATCATCTTATGCCTGTTGACCTAAAAAGGTTGTGATGAAAGTAGCAATGTGTAGAAAAAGTATTTACTAAGGTGATTTTTATGGATTTTTAAAATCTGTTAAATACTAAGGTTGTCCTGGTTTAAAATTAGACTTCTTGCTCTAAAGGCCATTCATTCTTTAAGGTAATTTAATTTCTACTCTGACCTATTTTCTGTTGATCTTAAATCTTAACTATGAAGGCATTTATTTCCTGATGCTTAAAATTGTGGTCCTATGCACTGACAAAAAAACAGTTGTATCTGTGCCCAAATATACAGGTAATGAAAATTTGCCTCAAGAAACATTGTTTAATTGACTCTGAAATAGGAGTCATGTGGTACAGAGGAAAAGGCCACTAAACTTGACTTTTGATCTAAGCTTTATCACAGACTAACCATCTCTGTTTCATTGAGGAAATCACTTGTCTTTTCTGGTTATCAGTTTACTCTGATTAGGATGAGTACAATATACTAAGCTCTGAAATCCTTTTCAATTTTACCTTTCTCTTTTTCAGTGATAGAATACATGAATTAGAAAGAGACCTTATTTCTAATACGTTACCCTTTATAGCATGAAAAGAAGTTGAGATTTATGCAAACACATAGTGATGAATGGCAGTAGTAGTAATAAGATCTCCTTAACCAGACTGTTAACTCTTTGCGTTATGCCCTTATGGCCTAAGACAAAAGTAAAATGGGGAAAACATTGTCCATTGTAGAGATGGCCAGCCAACTCATTGCCTTCCATCCTTATGTGATTATTCGTTGCTTTATATTGTATTCCTTGAACCAAGCTGAAGGAGAAAAATTGCAAATTGTATTGATGCTGTAATTAAAAGGGACTTGTTCTTTGAAAAACCTTAAGTAATAGTACATGAAGGCACTCTTAACAAGCCAACATTAAAATGTTAGTAAGTAGTAGAGTGAAGATTCAAACCTTAGTTAGGGTTTCTGCAAATTATCTGATGGCAAAGCTAATTCCCTGTTCCAAAGTTAGGGATTTTAATCATGAAATCTGATAATTCAAATATCTTAATTACCTTGGTTCTTAAATTGCCAGGATTGAGCAAACTACAACCTAAGGGCCAAATCTTTTTTTTGTATGGCTGCGAGCTGAGAATGATTTCTATATTTTTAAATGGTTGAAACCAATCAAAAGAAATATTTTGTTAAAATGTGAAAATTATTGGCAAACATTTCTCTACACTGATATAAATCTTTATCTAAATGAGTGTCTCCCTGTACCTAACATGTCTAAATTCCTATTTCCACATCTATAAATAGCTTATTGAAACAGCTATGTGCATTTGTTTATGTATCACCTCAGTGCTTTTGCTTTAAAATGGCAGTTTAGTAGTTGGAATAGAGTCTGTGTGACTCATACAATCTGAAATATTTACCATCTGGCTCTTTATAGGAGGATTCCCAATTCCTGGTTTGGAACTGTGTTGTCTAATGTGGCAGCCACATGTAGCTATTTAAATTTAAAACAGTTTACAGTGGAAAGGATACAAAGCAAAATAAGTGAAGGTAAAAAGAGCATGGGGTGAAGTCCAGAGAAAACCAGAGAAGGGCTTCCAGGAGTTCTCTCCCAGTGGAGCCCCACAAAAAGGACGTGCTAAATTTCTCCAGCTGCATAATATGCTGAGTTGTTACCTAGGAAGGAATCTCATCAGAGACTCAGCACCTGGGGTTTTTATTGGGTGCTGACTATGGAGGAACCCTCAGCCTAGCAGGTACCAGAATTCCACACTCCCAGACTCAGAAGGAAAGCAGGTGTTCAGCATAAACTATTTGTGCAACAAGTTGAGACACAGAGAGCTATTTATCATTCAGGTAAAGTTTTATATCAGTGTAGGGAACTGTTTACCAGTCATGTTCCTAGACTTCAGCCAAGAAATTTTGTAAGCAATTCTTTCTGAATTATATTGTTTAATATTTTGTAATGTTTTCTTAAATTAAAAAGGCTTCTTTTGTATTTCCACGGATTATATAAAGTACAGCTTTTAAACATGGGGAAATTCTCTTTTTAAAAATCTTAATTGTACAGCGTACTTCCTGGGTGGTTTTACTGGTAAATGCTTATCTACCCCAATGAACTCAAGACAGAATTTTCTTTGTTGATGTTGACAACTTCTTTTTCCTCCTGTAGCTGTGCCTTTGGCTGCAACAAGTATGTTGATTACTCAAGGATTAATTAGTAAAGGTAAATATTTAAAATTCTGATTTATTTAGCATTTTGGATATCATGTTTTTATATGGTATTTTCCTGATTTTTTAGATGTGGTAACTATAACCCTGTATCATATTAAATGTTACCATTGGTAAATTTGTAGAATGGCAGAAGAGTTGTCTCCATGGACCCAGTGACACAAACATCTTGATTTGAGAATTTGATATCCTTTTGCATTGTAGCAACATTAACAGTTTACAAGAGCAAGAAAGTAGCTAAAAGCCTGTCGATGGCATACAGGGTGGCAGAAAAGCGAACTGATCTATGTAAGCCATTCATTTCAGTGTCACCTAGGAGCGTGTTTGAAATGCAAAATCATATGCCCCAGCCCAGACCTCTTGAATCAGAACCTTTGAATTAGGGTCCAGGAATTTGTTTCAACAAACTCCTGGTGATTCTTTTTAACAAATCTGGTGATTTGTATGGCACTGGTTTAAAGGTGAATGATTCCCTAAACCAGCTTTGTCTTATAATAATGGAGGGATGGGGACACTTTCTTTTCCCAAACCCTATTGGCTTAAATAGTACAGTGTGTTCATATCTGGAATTGAGTTTAGAATAAGTATTTAATGTACTTACATCTTAAAATTAAATACACATTAACTTCTATTTTGTGAACTGTTTTCTTGGAATAAGATGCCCCAGAAAAGGGTGATGATCTTAGGATGGCCTCCACACATCCTAAAAACCTGATCTTCTAATTAGCTTGCTCCTATGATGTGACTGATAGGAAAAATTATGCTTTTCATATTAGCAGTATGGAGCACTTAGAAAGTAGTATTGACACAAAGAGTTGAGAAAAACAGTTTTGGAGGGAAATGGGAGGGATTTGAGGGGTTTAAAATTTTGTTTATTTAACGGATCGCCAAAGAACCTCATTACAGTGTGCTACTATGACAGGAATCTTAAACATGGAAACAAGTCAGTATACATGTGTACTTATATGTACTTTAGGAATAAGTTGTTTGATAGACTAGGACTCCTATAGTGAGAAACAGAACCCATTTCATCACATTACTTTGAAGGAAAAACTATGGGACAAGGAGTTATGAACAGAGAAATTGTAATCATTGTACTGCCTATTTTATCTAAATCCAGTCATTTAATAATGCCTACGTTCCCCTGAAGAAACTATGTGAACACAGTGTTGAACACAAATAGAGAATATAATTCTTTAATAGGTTACTAAGCTGTGTAGTAGGAACTTCAAGAGCTATAGGTCTTCAAAGAAAGATTTCTGCAGGGCTGCTATAACCAAAGAAAGTTTCTTGAAAGAAATGGATTTTGAAGATGGGCAGGATTTAGATGAGAAGAAAAGGAAGAATATCAAAAGGAAGGAGGGACCCGATTATTGAAATAAGCATAATTCTTGGGAGGGACAGACAGGAGAATGAGATGACCAGAATAACAAAATCATGTAGGGAGAAGTGAAAACTTCATTCAGTAGCTAAGGTAAAACCTGGAGAAATGGTCATTTTGATTGTGTTAGAGAGAAGGTAAACTTCTGGAGCTTTCGGGCTTAGGAAGAGTAGGAGACTTCAGTGGGCTTGCAGATACGTCGGAAGCAGTTACAGTTGGGAGAGAGAGATTGTACATACTCAGATCTTATATCTGTGACAAGATCTCACCACTACCTTGGGCGGGTGGGGTTGGTTATGTTTTGTTTTGTCTATCTTGAGAATACCTTGCTCCTACACATAACTAGTTTTACTGAACCAGACAAAGTAAATGAGATACATCCTTGTTGCACATATATCCTGATAGAATTGTTATATAGTTAAGGTGAAACCTACTGAAAATAATAGGACCTGTTACTGAGAAGGCAAATTATTCTTGTAGCCAGAATTCTCCTGAATTTTGAGTCACTGTTCAGTGATTATTTGACTTGTCATCAGTGACAGTTTATGCCTGTTATGATTTCATTTGCAAAAGTTACACCATGCGTAGTAACATTGTTCCAACGTCCTTCTTTGCAACTGCTCATGACTCAGCCTGGAGCCTTATAGTGGAATTTAGTGCTCCATTTTTTAGAAAGGATAAATTGTTGAAATGATTTAACTTAATTTGTAGAATAACATTATTTTCTGTTGAGCATGTCATCTTTCTAACTTTGTCAATTGTTTTGTTATTGCTGGGGTTTTGATATTGTACTTCTGCGTAAAAATTAAAAAAAATAACATTGGGTGACATGCCACTCATGTAACTGTCTCTGAGAATTCAGGTCATTTACTGTTGAAATTATATTGGGGTCTTGTTTTGTGGGTGCGATAGTCTAATAAAAAAGTCAGTCCCCCCCCAAAAAATTGAGACTTTAGAAAAGGAATTCAGAACTCACCAAGACATTTCACATTGAATTAAAACACCTAACATTTCATATATGCTTTTATCTACGATGTGACATACTCAGCTGCTTCCTCTCTAGTTCTTTTTTCTGGCAAAACATTTAAACATGTTCAGGTCTGTTCTAGCTTGAGAATATACAAAAGAAAAAATCTTCCCTTATATCTCTTCCCAACTGCTTCCAGCTGTCTTGCATTTGAAGCCAAACTTCAAGAATGAACACATCACTTTATACTACTTTAACCCACGGCAGTCTAGGTCATAGGTTGTGGCTATTTTCTTCCATTTACCAAAACTTTAAAAAATGTTATCAACTCGCCTCCTTATTGCTTAACTTTGATGGACAGTTTTTGTTCCTGACTATAAACTAGTCCTTGAAATCTCTACCCTTCCATTACAGCACATACTTCTGATTTTTCTCCTATTTCAAGCAACACCCCCTCTTTTCATGTTTTATTGAATGATACAAAATATACACTATTTTTGGAAATAGCACTAATAGACAAATTCATGGCCTCTTGGCGCTTACATTCTAGTGTGGGTTTTCTTCCTTCACTCTCGGTTTTTTTCAGAGTTCAGTTTTCAATCTATATTCCCAGTAAAATGTGCATTGCAAGTGGTCAGTATTTGAAGGAAAATCTTTTCTGTATAAACGTAGATTTATTACCATCCTCCTTTTTCTTATTTGTGTAAGTTAAAGAACTGAGGCTAGCAGCATGAATGGGTTCTGTATTTATACTTCATGTACATGAAATCAGACAAGTAAGTATTTTTTTTATCATTGTGAGATTTATCCAATAGTATGCTGGAATTGGCTTGTATCAGCTACAGAAAGCTGATTTTAAATGTTCAGGATTTTGGTAAACTGGTTTTTATACCATTTAGTACTTTAAAGCTGGTCAAAGTCCCAAGTATTTTCTCTCCACGGAAATCCACCAACATTATAAATCAGGAATTTTTATTTGGAGAGCTGGTTTACCAGCACATAACTAGATTCATCCACGTTGTTTCATGTAGTTATAGATTAATCATTCTCATTGCCATATAGTTTTCCACTGTGTGAATATACCACAGCAGTTTATCTGTCCTATTATACATTGTCAGTTGAATAGTTTCCAGTTTTGACTATTACAGGTACTTCTGCCATGAACAGTGTCTCTTGGAAGACATTATGCTGGGTCTTAGATGAGGTATATATTCAGTTTTAGTAGATGCTGCCAAACTTTCCCAACACTGGACCAATTTACACTCCCCCTACCAATTTATTGATGAAATTCTATTAATTATGACATTATCACCAATGCTTGCTATTTTCACCTCTTCCCTATTTAAAGCCATATGAATGAACAGTGATATTGATTGCATTGTGGTTTTAATTTGCATCTGATGACTAATGAAATTCAGGGCCTTTTGTTTATATCCAATTTGAATATATCTTTTTTTGTGAAGTATCTAAGCAGTCTTGTTTATTTTCCATCCGATTGTCTTCTTTTTCCTATTGGTTTTATGAGAGTTTTCTGTTTATTTGGAAGTGAGTCTTTTGTTAGATATATGTATTACGATTTTTTCCCCCCACTTTGATTAACTAGTTCTTAATGTAATGCAATCTAGTACATCAGATCTCTTTTCTCTACCTTATGATGGAGTACTTTTTGTTGTCCATTTTAAGATCTTTGTCTATTAAAAGGACATTGCATGAAGCCAGACTTCAAGAATGAACACATCACTTTATACTTCCTTAACCCATGGCAGTCTAGGTCATAGATTGTGGTGATCTTCTTATGTTTATCAAAACTTTAAAAAATGTTATCATGACAGCCTCCTTATGCTGTGAAGAATTGCTTATGCTTTCTTCTGTAAACTCTATTTTTTCTTTCATGCTTAAATTTTCAAGTCATCTGGGACTGTTTCTGAATGTTGTATGAGGTAGAATCAAAGTGCATTTTCCCCCTTTATGTCATTGACGCAGAACTATATTTTGAAAGGACTTTTCTTTGTTTACTGCAATGCATTGTTGCCTTTGTCATAAATCAAGTGACTGCATCTGTGGGTCTGTTTCTGGATTCTTCTGGTTTTGGTTGGTGTATCTATTCTTGCACTCATAACCAACTGTCCTAATTACTGTAGTCATAGATCTTGATATCTGTTGACAGCTCTCCAGTTTTGTTGTTCTTCAGCATTGCCTTGCTTATTCTTTGCCCTTTTGTGTTTCCATGTGCTTTTTAGAGCAGGCTTTTTCAGTTTGGGGAGAAAACTTTCTTTGATTTTAATTGAGATTGCATTGAATTTATAGATGGACTTACAGAGACTTGCCATCTTTATAGTACTTTGTCTTTGGTTCATGAACATGGTGTATTTCCCCATTTATTTAGCTTTTATTATTCAGTAAGTTTTGTAGTTACCAATATAGAGATCTTTCATATTTTTCATGAGATTACTCTTGGGTCTTTGAGTTTTGAGGTGCTATAATAAAAAATGTTTTTTGTTTGTTGTGCTGGTATAAAGAAATATATATTTTGTATATTGACCTTGTGTCAAGTGATCTTGCTAAAATAAATTCACCTATTCTAAAACTTTTCAGTTTTCTTCATGTTTCTGTTCATATTGAATTTACTTGGTTCTTTCTTTTAAATAGCTTTAGGCTTCTCTAGGGTTACGGTAAAAGCTAATGTTGTTAGCTAACATTTAAAGATTGTACTGATTTTCCCTTTTATATTTTTCCGTAATTCTGCTGATAAATAGATACGTCTTCACGTTGTGTTGAACTTATTTTGTCTCACATTAGAAGAGACCACACAATGACTAGCAGAAATAGTTCCTTTGTATTTTTACCACAACTTCTGTGTTATTTTCTTATATACTCTTAGTGTAAATTTGGCATAAACCTATTTTATCTTAGTGAATGATGCAACATCTTAATTATTTAAATATGTTTTCTTCTCACAATATTACTACTCAGGAATATTTACTTTTGTCTTTAGGAATCCTTTCAAGTCATCCCAAATATGGTTCCATCCCTAAACTCATATGTAAGTATGAACACTTGTTTTCTTAACCTTTTACTTAAGAATATTTTCATCAAATATTTTTTCTTACTCGTAACAGTTACTTGGTTATTTGCTTTGACAAATCAGTTTGTTTAAGTTTTTCATTAAATGTACTACTAGTGCTTTTTATTGTTAGCATTAAAAGTCATGAGTTGCTTCAAAGAGGCATTTTTTCCTTTTATAATAGAACTATTTTCATTTTTTTTGTAAAGATACAGTATTTGAAAGTAAATTCTCTTGGTCTATTAGGAAAGAAAGTTGTTCAGTGATTCTGATTAATCAAAATAAAATATATTAAACCTAATTTGAACAAATCTTTTAAATTTAGATTAAAATGCAAATAAGCGTAACTTATTTACATTGTGGAATCTGGGTAGTAGAAAAGAGCTAAATTACTTTATAAAAGATAGACCTGAGACTTTTTATGAATGTCTCCGGGTTAGCCTCTCTTGTGTATTGGAAACAGGCACATGATGCAACAATAGCCATATTTAGGTAACATTTAATAATTCATTATTTTAAGAGATTTGTTGCACCTGATTTTAAAAACAATCTGAAGAAATTAGCTGGGCAAATGGTAGGATTCTCATTTTAAAGGAAAAGAAATGGTCTAAATCTCGATGATGTAGGTTAGAGCTCTCATGTTATGATTCCTCATTCCATTATGCCTTTACCACGTCTCTCTTACCTATATTAATAAAGTAGTAAAGTAGAACTTATTTATCTTGCAGCAGCTTTATTTTGGGTTATTAAATTTTATAAAAGCAAATTATATCCACAGTCTTTCTGTAAACTCTGAGTCTGATTTAATGTGATACTTTTACCATTGTTTCAGGAAATCTCAGTCTTTCCACACAAAAGACGAACTTAGAATCACATTTTTTTAAATGTACTTTTAGAATGATTCTTTTCCCAAAAAAAGCACACTGAGTTACACTCTCTGTTTTTTAAAAATAAGTTGCCTGTATCATGGGATACTTTGCTGGAAAGCTTTCTTATGTGAAAACTTGCCAAGAGAAGTTCAAGAATCTTGAGAATTCCCCTCTTGGAGAAGCTTTACGATCAGGACAGGCGCGACGCTCTTCACCACATGGGTAGGCCAGATTCTTATCTTTATTAAAGGTTTTTCATTTTAGCTAAAAAATTGTAACTGGATATTGCCATAACTCAGGGCATAAAAAACATTGCCCAACTGAAAGACCATTGGAAACTTGCCACTGTGTTGCGAGCTAAAGCCAATTTGGTTTTTAAAGTCAGTGTGAGATTTGTCTTTGTTTTTTATAGAGTTGCATCCTAATAGGGAGTGTATATTCCAGAATAAAGGACTTTAATTCGACAAATACCTTTGGTTGTCTATATTTTGAGCTTTTCTTTTGAATTCCCAAATTTTGTCAATTCCAGCTCCAAACAAATTTCAACTTTTTAATCCTGTTGTTTAAAATAGTAGGGAAGTTGTATAGGTATAGATAAATGAATGTGTCTGGATAGGTACGTAAGTAATAAGGTAATTAAGTAGGTTTGGTAGATACAGTGTCCTATCATAAATGGCATGCACTGGAAACTCCATGAGGGTTAGATTTACTTACATCTGCTTTATCACAATTAGAGTTTATATGGACTGATACCTGTGGAAGTAACTTCCTAGTTAATGTGGGAAATGGACATATTTTTCTGACCTGAAGTATTTTTTTCTTTCTAAAAACTTCAAACATATTAAAATGATCTCTGAGGCCTAGTCATTGGAGAGTTGAATAAACATGTTTTCACCTGTATGGTTTTAAGTTATATAAGTAGATCAGAACATATTTTTAATTTTTTTATAACAGAAATGAACAGACTTAATTTTACTATTTTAAATTATGTTAAAATAATACGATTTCTTTAGAAATTAAGATAACTGATTTTCATACCTTCGCACACATTTTAAAATAAGGTATAGGCAATAACTCATGTTTCTTATATCATACGAATTTCTTTTATAGGCACTACTCTCAGAAGTCAAAATATGACTCAAATGTGAGTGATCGTTCATCTTTTGTGACATCTCCAGCAGCAGACAACATGGAAAAAGAGATATTTCCTCACTATGAGCCAATTCCATTTAGTGCTTCTATGAATGAATCTACTCCCACTGGTATTACTGATCATATTGCCCAAGGTAGAAACTTCTCTTGAAATGAATTTCAGCATTTAATGGTCCAACGTATGTATAAACTTTATTTGATGACCTTTTCTACTGGGTATCACCTGTATGTTCCACCATCAGCCTGAATGCAGCATGTTGGTTCATTTGTTTTGTCATTTAACATTTTTTTGCGGTCCAGTCTGTTAGATAAGACAGAAATATAAGGATAAATTACAAGAATGTCCCATTAATTGAAAATATTAACCAAGCTTAGTGGAATATCAAAGGCGTGATAAATTGTACCTGCAAGAGGCTTTAAAAAGGTTACATTTGTTAGGTTGGTCTTAAAGGCTTTCAGCTTCTTTGTTTGTAATGTGAGAAAAATAATAATTACCTGCTTTACAGAACGGTTGTCAAGTGAGAAAATCCATGTGAAAATGCTTTGTGAAGTTTGTGTAAATACTAGCTTTGAAGATCACATAATGTAAGTGCAACCACATCAGTTTTGGATTAAGGCCTGGATTTGAACCAGGATTGACATTTATTAGCAATTTGACTTTTGGCAAGTAACTGTAATTTGTGATCCCTTCAGTTTCTTGATCTGTTGAATACAGATGATAATACCTCTTTTAAAGAATATTTGGAATGTGATGAAATAATCAGAGGTGACATCTGGCAAATAGTAGGTTCTCATCAAATGTTAGTTGCCCTCCTTTCTCCTTCAGTCTCATTTGCAGTGAAAGGTGAGGAATTAGAAACAAAGTACAGGTCTGCGATTCCTTATCTGAAACTAAAATCTGAAAAGCTTTGAAAACAAGATTTTGTTGTTTTCTTTTAACTAAAGAGGTGGTAAAATCTGACCTGTACTCACTCCAAACCCTGGTCTAAACTGACATAAATTTATTTATAAGCTTAATACAATTTTTCCTAAACTTTGTTGCAGAAATATTGTTTTCACTCATTGCTTTTAACTTCTGAATGGATGAATATTAAATAATACATGGGCTACATACTATAATATTTTTCCAGAGTCTGAGAAAGTCTGAATTTTAAAACATTTCTTACTCCAAGAGTTTGGATAAGGGATTGTGGATAGGGTACTCTTGAAAAATACTTACTTTGAACCAAATATAATAAGCCAGTAACTGTGGAGAACAGACAAGGTTAAAAGAACATTAGGTTTAAGATGGGAGAGATCTCTCTCTCTCTCTCTCTCTCTCTCTCTCTCTCTCTCAGGGGAGGGAAGGAAGGGATACAGTGGACACGGAGAGGTTGATTATAGGTCAAATGAGGTTCCAGAGGATACAGAGGGGTTTAGGTATGTCAGGATATAAAGTAGCCACTGGCTATGTATGGCTGTTTGAATTAATTAAATCAAATTGAAAATTCACTTCCTTAGTTGCTTTGAGAGCATTTCAGTTGTTCAGTAGTCACATGTGCTGGTGGCTGTTGTATTGGACTGCAGATACAGAACATTCTCATCATTACAGAAAATTATGTTGGAAAGCACTGCTTTAGAGCAAAAATAAGGGGGTATTTGCAGAAGAGACAGGAGAATGGAAGTTAAGATAATTTAGATTTTTTTAGTGGATGAAAGTTGTTGAAAATCTGTTAATCCTCAGCTGCTTTCCCCACTTCGCCCCCCCCCCCCCCAGTGGCTGTAGATACAGACATCTAATTACAGTTGACACTTGAACAGTGTAGGGTTGAACTGCGTGGGTCCACTTCACACAAATCCGTCTATAAGTGGACCTTCGTAGTTCAGACTCAAGTTTTTCAAGGATCATCTGTGACAGAAAGCGGGGGTGGGGGAGTGGGCAAGCAGATGAGAGAGAATGGTTAAAGTCATCATTTTGTCTCCAAAGGCAACTGTCCTTGTCCCTCATTGCATCTCCGTTTTTCCATTTCTCAAGTTTAAATCCATTCTGCTTGGCCTTGTAACGACTTGCATCCTTCCTTATTAGCAAATTCCATTCCATGTTATATAGTTTCCTTTTCAAATAATAATAAACAAAAAGCCCTCTGGTATCTGCCCACAGACCACAGCCAGGTCCATCTTTTAATGTATTTTACATCTTCCAAAGCAGTTCCATTTGTCTGGCACTGTTCTCTCACCCGCTCCCCAAAATCAGGGTTGCAGCTCTGCTCTCCACAGGAATCAGCATGGCCTTACTTGCTTTACCCCAGCTGCTGCCCCCCTTACTAGGACACCCTCACCTTTTTTTCAGCAAAACTGCTTGTTCTCTTCGTTCTTTCTCTTACCAAGAATTTAAAGTTATTCAGAGTAGAAAGTATTCCTTCATAGTTATGACATTTATTATAGATAGTTTATTACAGTTAGATTTAAATGACTGCTATTTTCCATTGTCTTATTCCTTCCAGCTCTATAGAACCTTCCCAAAGGTAGTAAATCACCCTACACAACATAGGAAGTTTTCATTTGGCTTTTGTAAGTGTAAAAAATTTTCCCTAACATTCTCTCTCAATTATGTTTTCATTATTTGTCACAGAATTTCAGAACAATGCAAGAAGTATTAGACCTGGAAGGAACTTTAGATAGATTATTTAGTTCAGCTTCCATATTTCACTACTGAGAAAACCAAGATTTAAAGATGCTTAGTGATTTGCCCAAGGACATTCACTAATTGTCGGCCAAGTAGGAATGAACCTAGGGTTTCTGACTAAACTGTTTCCTTCAGAATTTTAAAAATATCCTTTATGGTGAAGGGACATGAGTCCAGTAATTATTCATTAACTATGAAATATAAACTGCTTTTTAAACCCAATATAATGTTATATTTTTCTTTGCATTTTTTTTGAGCAAGAAAAACCTACTTTTCAATAATGGTATATTATCAGAACCAATAAGGAGAAATTTAAATGCTCTTCATATTAATGCAGTATACATTGCATTAAATAGTTATGGTTGAAAGCATTTAATGTATAGTTATATTGCTTTAAAAATTTCAATTATTTAGTGGGAGCTTACCATTGAGTCTCAAAGTAGTACTGCTTAACAAAAATTGTTTAAAAAAAATCATAATTAAAGTAATGTGCCCAATTTGTATGTCTTATTAAAAACCTCTTTGAAAAATACTACTTTTGAAGTAGTAAGATTGTAAGTAGTTATTCATCAAATGCTGTATTAGCATTAGTTAATTTTTTAAAAAATGTTTATATGGCCTTTTTTGCTGGTTATACATTTTATAAAATATGTACAATATTTGGCCCTGTCAACCAGTATTAAGAGTAACCACTTCCATATGTTTCTTCCATATTTGATTGTGCTAATATGTATTCATATTTTGACTCTTTGGGAGAGATAAAGAATAAATGCTGGTTCTCTGGTTGAAATTATATTATACTTGCCACTTTCTTCTGCCTCAATATTACATTCATTAGACCGAAATGAAAATGATGCAGACTATGTTTAAAGATTGTGCTTTATAATTTTTGGTAGCTGTTTTCAGGTATTTTAGCTTCAGATACAAAGATGGTAAAATAAAATTTTGTTTTTTAGATAGCTGGAGTTGTTTGTGTATAGACTATGGTTATAGAAACAACTATGGAAATACTACCAAATAAAAACCATACTGTATTAAGTTTCGTTCAGTCGTCACAATTAGAATATATTTCTCTTTATATAAACACTGAATAATTTTGTGGTTTAAAACACTATGACATTAATGAGTGTGAATTGTTCTGGTATATATTATGCTATCTGTTCTTTTGGCATGGTTTTTTAAAAAATTTTTTTGTTGCTTTTAAGTTTTAGAAATAAAAGCTTGAAAATGTGAGAGGAAGTTGATTTTAGTTTTATAACTGCCTTTGGGAAAATACAATACTTTTGCATTGGTGGTAATGATTTGATCCTTTATTTCACTTTATTCTATTTTTATTATAGGTAAGGAGCATTTATAAAATTTAGTTGCTTTGGATTTACTCAAATCCTTTTATCACCATTTATTAACTGTTTGTTGTTTTAGGACCTGATCCCAACCTTGAAGAAAGTCCTAAAAGAAAAAGTGTTACATATGAGGAATTAAGGAATAAAAACAGAGAGGCATATGAAGTAACTTTAGCACATAAGACTGATCCCTCAGTCAGGCCTATGCAGGAAAGAATACCCAAAAAAGAAGGTACGATAGTTCAGTCTAATCACTGTGACTCTTTAGGATTGGATACCACAGCATTAGTTAAAAACATTAATCATACTAATGTGATTTAATTCCACAAGTAATTAACCGAAATAACATTTTTTAAAAAGGATACCTATTTCACCGTTGTCAGATCTTTTGTTTTTAATGGGTTCCAAAGGCCATTTTGTGTTAGAAAATAATGAAGGGTAAATAGTAGTATGACTTAAGATAGTAAGACTAGTTTTGTAACACGATATTATACATCCACTTTTGACTGTTTTTCCTTGTAAGAAGTCACTTTGGAAACTTTTTAAATGATGCACCTATTGTGTAAAACAAGATCTGGTGACCAAAGGTTGATAATTGGGATGTAATGCCACTTTTGGTGGAACCACAGAATCATGCTTGAGTAATGAAATTGATTTTATGTTTGTGAAATTGAAATAGTTTATATGCCTTACAAAGTGGCTTTAGGACATTTCCAAAAGAGGAGTTTGACTTCTTTTTAATAGTACTTTTGCTCTATAATTAATTCTAAATTTTAATATCAGTTTCTTTTAAGTCACTTTGGAGCAGTGATACATTACCCCAAGTAAATTTTCTGACATAGAAGTTTACTTATAATGGAAGAAGGTGTTTTAGTAAGGGGCTTGTAATTATTTTAATACAGAATTTTGTATCTCTTGGAATTTTAGAGAATGTGTCATTGTTTCAAGGTTTTCTACTTAACTAATTTAAAAATCAAAGGAATAGGTCCTTGGTACCTTCTTGTAAGTTGTATGCCACAAAGAATGTAAAAATGCATAAAAATTCTTAGTATTTTTTATTATGATCATTCTTGTTGAGCCAGTTTTATTTCTAATTGTTAGTGGTTGCTTCATTTAGCATTCTGTTTTCATAACAAATGATGGATAATATCTATCAGTGATGTAAAAAATCTAGCTTTAAAATAGATTTGTAATCAACATTACTTTGTAATGTTTGTCATAAAAAATAGTGTAAATCTTATGCATTCAGTAGGCATTCCTTTGTAATATGTAAAGACTTGCTGGTACTTTGTTTTGCTAATTAATTTGAGATTTAGAGTGTAAGCTCCATGAGAGCAGGCAGTAGTATTTTTCTCATTTTTGTAATCTTTTATATTGTCTGCACAACATGGTACCATACACTAATAAATCAGAAATGGAGTATTTCATTGGGCCTTCTGTAGTAATAAAGATTTAAAGAAGGAAGTATAGTAGACCTTTGGCATTTGCTAGATTTTGACATTTGTGTTTTGACTTAAGTAGTCTTTTTAAAGCTCTGTTACATGACATAGTAATATGAAATAATTTCCTTATAAAAAGAAAGCTGATATTTTTGGTGCTTTATTTGAAAAAAGACAAACAGTTATGAGATAGTTTCAGTGATTTTTAGAAAGTTTTATCCTAGAATCCAGGCAGAAAATTTGACTCTAGTATAGTGTAGATTGACTGGGTCAGAAAGTATCGCTTAAATTTTTCAGTTTAATTTTTGTGGATGACATTTCTCTAATTAGAAATTAAGACTGAGAAATTTTTAAAACATGCATATTTTCAGTTGTCAAGGCAGTGCAGTCACCGCACATGAATCTTCCAGAAAACTCTACCTTGTACTAATGAAGGAATGAAAGCAAGGGGAAACAGCATAATGTGAGGGAAAAGGACATTCAGTAGTACCTTGATACTTGTCATTAATTTGTCCCGGAATGTGTGACGAGTGCCAGCCAATGAAGCGTTTTCTCTAATGGGGCGGTGTCATGACTTATACAAGTTCTAGCAAGTGCAGCAAACCCCATGCAAGTGCCAAGTACTGAAACATGTTTTTTCTTTTCAAAATGCAACAAGTACAGGGTTTGACGAGCTCTGAAGCTGACAAGTATCAAGATGTGACTGTGTAATGTGTTAGTATAGTAATGAAATAGTTTTGATGTCCCAGCAAGCTCAAAGAGTCTGGGGAAGGGGGTCCCTCGCTCATACTTTGACAACTCCTGTACATTGTTATGATTACTTGCAACTCACAGATGGAGGCTATGTAAAAGAGAGGCTAAAGGGTGAAAGAGTAGAGAAGACAGAGGAGCATGTTTCAAAATATAATTTAATGTAAAGTGCAGGACTATAAGAAACCATTTCCTCCTTACCACTGGTATGACGGCTCATAAGAGAGAAGATGGAATTAACCATAACCTGAAGACTTGACCATTCCTATATTTTTTGTGAAAAACAATTTAATTTTGTTACCATTATTTTTTATTTTCCTGGTGATTTTTTTTGGATGTGCTGTAACTTACCACCACTCTTTACTTAACGATAAAGTTGTAAAGGCACCAAGGCTTTAGAGCTAAACAGATGTGTTCAAAATTTAGTTCTACTTTTTTTGTTAGGTTTGTACCTTGGGCAAGTTACTAATCTGTTTTCTCTTAAAATGGGGCTTGTGTTTATAAGGTTTTTAGGAGAATCAAATATTTATGTGAAGTTCTTGGTGCAGGTCATTGCTATTTATGTCCAACCTCCAGTCCACTAAAGTCTGGCCATCCCCTTTTTAATTTGACTCTCATGTGCTTTCAAATAAGAAACATAACTTCATTATAATAGCATACTTAAAATAGTGCTGTTTACATATTACTGTTTGGGATCATCAACTATTTGTGCTTTTTTCCTAGTCAAAGTAAACAAATATGGAGATACTTGGGATGAGTGAAAAAATGCATCCTTGGACCTACTGAAGGAGTTTCCATATCCAGTTTCATCTAGGTGGTCATGAATATCTGCATGCTTTGAGCTCAGCAGCAGTCTTCGTAAACACATTGAAAACTAGAACCTGGGTTTTTTGTGGTTTGGCTTATTAAAATAATGTTTAAAAAAATACAAATTTTAATGTTAATATTGTGCGAATGTATTGACCGTGGGAAACTATACGAAAGTTGGTATTATACCACAACCATATGCAGTTTGTGAAATTTAAGTTACAGGACAAGGATACTCTTCCAAATCCATTGAGAGATTGTAATGCTCTAGAATCAGCATGTATGAAAATAAATGATACCTGCATGTTGAATTGGGGTGGGTGGGGGGAAGCACGCATAATTTTAAGTGGTAAGCCTTACATCAAAAAATTGTTAAGTTTTTCTTCAGTGTTTGCTGTATTAATGTTTATGGTAAATAAAATATAAAGGAACATGCATCTTCATTGATTTCATGGTTTTATTTGCGATCTGTTTTTAAGCACAGTTAGAAATAAGTGGTGTGTAGGGATAGGCAGTAAAAGTCATCTATCTGAATATTTAATAATATGGTTAATGTGACTCATGGATTAGCATACAGCAGATGGCTCAGTGCCTTAAAAATACAGTGGTCATGTTCAAAAACTGCAAATTTCAGAGGAATAAAAATTCAGTACACTTTTTTTTTAATGCTTGTTCCTGGTTCAGGTGAATAGAAAATGAAATGATGGTTTTATCTGAATTCTTACGTATATTACATTTCTACCAGAAATTTAGTATTTCAGTTAGTGTTTGGTATTATGCAAATCATCCCAAAACCTGGTAGTTTGATTTATCAGGGTGATCACTTAGTTAGATAATGTCTGATCACTGGGTTGTACACTAAAACTAATGATGTATGTCAACTGTAATTGAAAAATAAAGTAATTTTTTAAGTAAAAAACCAATTTATCTAATATTTGGTGTGGGTCAGAAATTTGGGATTTCCGCTTAACGATCTGGTTCTTGGGCTCTCGGGTTTGTAGTCGCGCTGGATGGAACTGAAAGAAACAGCAGGGACCTAGAGCAGCAAGGCCCGACCAGCGCATCGCCCCCTCTTCATATAGCTTCAGGGCCTCTCCAGGGGTTCGGCAGGCTCCTCACAAGTGTGCTCACAGCGGTCAGACTGCTTACGTGGCCACTTGGGGCTTTGGTGTGAGTGTTCCAGCCAGGATGTCAAAAGCTGCATTGCCGTCTGTTGACCACATTTTCACACAAACCTGCTTCTCAGAGGGCAGGAATGAAGGATTCCCACACACTCATTTTCCGAACATATGGGATGGAACATATTCCAACTACATGTCTTCGTTCCAGCATTAGGCCACAGTAATTCACATCCCTCCCATGTGCGTTTGAACCCATCCTAACAGCTCAACATCTAGGAGCTCATGTAATCAGGTCCAGGTAGGGGTGAGACACAGGTAAAGGTCTGAAGACCTGTCAACTTACCTTTTCAAACTGAATACCTAGTATGCGTAATAGTCGTCTATACATCCTCATTCAAAAAGTGAAATAGAAAGCACACACCAGTCAGTTGGCCAGAAATTCTGAAGTACAGCTGGCTTATGCTGCCAGTTCCTTGCTTGGGGCTAAAGCATATGCCCTGGGAGTTCGTCATGGCTGGTGTTTCTACCTTCCCGCAGAAGGAAGCCTGTGCTTGCACCTGAGTTGTTTTCTCAGCGGCTCATAGCAATCAAGGATTCCAAGACCTCTATACTGTCCCTGTCCAAACTGGTAACATTTTAAAAATCTGTGTAGTTGTATCAATTGAAAATCCACTTGACAAAAAGCCACCCTTGTCTACCGGAAGCGGACTCTTCTCTTTTGGGTCCCCTGTGAAGCTGATTCTTAGGAGCCTCAGGCAGGGTCTACAAGGTTATGCCCCTCAGCCTTGTAGAGGGTCATTTGTGTGTAAAAACGTCCTAGGATGCACTATCATCTTTTGAGGTCTTGAACAAAAAGTCATTGCCCCAGTCTGGATTTGGTCTTTGCCTGGAAGCTGTTTCTGAACATGAGAACACTTGGCTGGTTTAAAAGACTGCTCTGGGCCTCTAGAGTTTCTCCAAAACATTTTGAAGTGGAGTCATTTTTCTGTCTCACTTCTCTCATTTTAGACAGCAGCCAGGTGGCACCCTCCACACTGCCCAGAGATCTTAGCTAGATCAAGGTCATCAGGTACATTTCCTGTTTTCCCGTGTTACCGCAGCTGATGGTTTTGCTAAACTTGACTGTATAATCCGTCTCTCGGCTTCCTGTACTGTTTCCCTCTTTCCTGTAATCCCTCCTTGACAGCCGCCTTGGAAGCTCTTGAGCTTCTGTTAACACCCTCCTCCAGGCCCTTTAGATTTTTACTAACGGTCTCCTCAAGGTCCTGCCAGCATCCACATGCCACTTGTTCCCAACACCAATGACAGACGTTTTAGGTTTTTATTATGCAAGCGGCCTGCTTTTGGTTCCCCAGTTCCTGAACTAGAGTTTGCTAGAAAAGCAGAGTTGCTCTCAATGATGCAGAGCAGGGGGGTCTTTGTAGGGATTAGACCTTAGGCAGTTGTGGAACTGACAGATCAATCTGCAAGTTATTGCCCCTGCATCTTAGTGCCAGATATGTTCTCATGTTCACACTAGAGGCATAAATGGAAACACAGAGGTCTCTTCAGGCCTAAGGTTGAAACTGGCACACCGTCATTTCTGCCTCACAAAAGCAAGTTCGCGCAAGCCCAGGGTCAAGCGGTAGGTAAGCACTCACAGTGGAAAGAAAACGCAAAATTCCATGTCAAAAGGCATGGATATGAGGAAAGGTAAAGAACTGGATGGATAATACAATCTGCAAGGGCAGCAAAAGTGACCACCACTGCCCCTGAATTCTAGGGGCAGTTAGCTTCTATCTACCCCATGCAGAGAGATGCTACACTACATTTTATTACAGCTATTTCGCTACGCATCTCCTCTACTTACCTCTTTGAGGGCAGGGACTACCTTATCTGTGAACGTACTCCTATTTCTTCCAGCACATTGCCTGGTTTGAAAAATCCTCGTTGAATTAATGAATGAAGCCATTTCTGGGCTTCCAAGTCAGAGGGCCTATGGCGACAGCGCTGGTTTTCAAAATCAGGGAGCTTTCTTTTTGCTACGGCTTTCACCACCGTTACTCCACTTCCTGGCTCCCTTCTCGTTCGCCACCTTCCCATTCCAACCCTCATTCTTGACCTACTCACATCTAGAGATGACAGAATCTAGTAAACCAAACTACTATCTGAGGTTTGTATTTTATAATAAGATCCGCTCCTTCAAAACAATCATTCTGTTAACAAAGATTGTTGGAGCGTGTGCCATGAACACTGTACATTAAGAAACCAAAGGGGTAAATCGAATATTTTCCCATTACTCGCCCGTAAAGTCACAAATTTTGGACTGACAAGGACAAATAGCTGGGCCTGAAAACAGCATCATGAAACTGAAAAGAGATAAGTGCATATATAACAAGTTACACTGCTCAGAATGACCGGCTCTATAAGCATAAAATGGGGAGAATGAACTTAAAGGTAGGTCATGTGAAAAAGGCCATCATGGGACACAGTTACACCTTTTGGACTGCAGTAGTAATCGCTAACACCCATTGAATGGCAGCTCTGAGCTATGCACTGATCCAAGCATTTTGTAATTATTAGCTCATTCTATTCTCACAAAGAAGCTACAGGTAAATCTAAAATCCCCCCATTTTACAGATGAAGAAACTGAGATGGCCAGGGAGTGGTGGAACCTGATTTGAGCCCAGGGCCTGGCACAGAGCCACCCTTGCTATCAGTTCACATGCCCAAAACGAAATGAACAGTAACCCTGCTCTCCTAAGCTGGTCAGTCTGTTTCTGGAATCTTGCTGTGCGAGGACATCACAAACCAAAGGTTGTCCCAAGACGAGGACGTGACAGGGCTAGAAACTCACTCTAGTGTGTGGGGCAAACTGGGCCCTTTTGCTAGAATTCTGAAAGGAACGGGCCTTGCAATATTTAAAGGCTGTTATGCAAAAGAAGAATAAGGATTCTGTTCTGTAGCAGCAAGGAAATTACAAGTTTAGGCTGACAAACACTTACAAAGTGCCTGTATCTGGCCAAGACCTGTGCTTGGGGATGAAGATTCAGAGAAAAGTGCAAAAAGGATACACTTCCTGTCTCAGAGGAGCTGCTAGTCGAGAGGGGTATGGAGGCAGGGCTGGGCTCCCATAGGCATGTCTGCGTAGTTTTGCAGCTGGGCAGTGAACTGGGTTGCCCATGGGGCAGCAGGCATCCTTCCCCTGGAAGTGCATATGTGGGCCCTGGAACCTAACCTGTCCAGACAGGTGAGGGGATTTCCACAGTGGGCGGGAGGTTGGGTGGCACCTCCAACCTCAGGCTGGCATTGAGAAGGTAAGCTCCAGGAAGGAGAGGAGTTTTGCTGATTGTGCTCACTGCCACATTCCCAGGACCTAGGACAGTGCCTGGCACACAGTGGGTGCTCAATAAATTTAAAAACCAGGATATTTCACAGAAAAACCTGTATTTACTTGTTTTGACAAACTGGGAGATTTGACTATGGCAGCCCGCATGCGCGTGTGTGGCAGTGAAGACGGCACCTGTGTTTAACATGCAACTGGTCCAGCTTCGCTTGGTCATATTATCTATCTGGTCCTGGACTTTGCAGCCTGTGGCCAGTCACTGAAAAATCTGCCAGCTCTCAATGCCTACAAAATCAAACTCTGTAGCTGAAATGTAGGGGTAGAGTTCCAAAGTGTAAATGTTTTCTGGCAATGAACAGATTGCATTATTTGAATATTGAGAAAATGACCTATATGACATTTTCATGGTTTAATTGCATCATTCAAGAGAAATTTTATTACTTCCATGATGTTCACACAAAATAGATAAATCACCCATTTTGACAGCAAGAGAAGAGAACAGCTGCTTAAATGAGAACTTTAAAAAATATATAAGCATTACAAACAGTCCATGATTTTTTTTTTCATCATGAAAGCACTGTTTTCATGAGCTTATGACCAGCTTGGTGATGAGTGTTGCTGGTAACTGCTAAGTGCTGGACGACAAATGCTGCTCCTTTAACACACCTTCGTGTGAGACACAGACATTGCCCCCCAGATACTTGCCTCCTGATATATGCAATAGATAATGAAGGAGAGCTTTTGGATGACCTTGTTTTTTTCTTTATGGATTTCCTTTCACGCTACAATCATTGTGGGAAAAAACATGCTTCAATGAATAACTTACCTACATGGAAAAAGCAGAGAGCCTCCCTCCAAAAAAGCCCAGTTTGATCAGAACTATGGAGGTGTCAACAATAAAAAAAAATGTGCCCTTTCTACAACAATATATTTCTCTTTTTCTAGTACCTTGAGGCTGATTTCTACATTAACTTGCTGTGCTTCGCAATGTGAAAATGTCCTGATTCCTAGGAGGTTATTTTCTGGAATGCAGAAAATAAATGTGCCCAATTCTGAATTTTTACCAATAGCTGAGATAACCAAGAGTCACCACTTGCCAGTTTTCAGAGCCAAGACTTAAAACTGCATCCAAGAAGCTAGGGTATTGGCTCTGCATTCTGATTTACAGAAGAAGAACTTTCTTGGCTGAGAAACCAAGAGAAATATACAGAAGGAAAGAGTCCATGCCATACACTTAACATTCATGTAAAATAAAAACTTGCAAACAATTTTGATGTTTAAAATAAAATATTTCACATCAAGTATTAACTTCTGATGTTTCCCTTTTTATCTCTGTGGTGCAGGTTTCAAGATGTACTCCGCAAAACACAAACATGTATACACACACATGCCCAATCTACAAATGGTGACACATATATACAACATTGTGCAAAGAGGCAAGATAAGTTTTTAAGTAGGGCTCAGACAAACTGCCGTAAAACAAAAGGTCCTCAATGGAAAAGGTTTTGTTTTGTTTTTTTCCCTTGCAAAAACCTGGCAGTAAATAGGAATCCAACTCGTGGGGTTCAATTGGCTGCTTCTGAGCTCCCCACAGCCCTAAAAGTTTATTATCCTATGAATTAATTCTTCCCGTGATTCCTCCCATAACAAACCGTTGTCTAGGAAAAGATGGGGCCATTTGGGAAGTGGTGTTTATTCTTTACGGCCACTAGCAGTACATAAAAGAGCCCAGGGCTGGAGTGCTGACCGTGAGCATGCCCCAGTAGCTAAGCAACACTCTACCACACCGATAAGGCATAAAGTCACTGCGGTTGCTGAAAGGACACTGATTTGTACTGTGACTCTTTCAAATGATAGATTTTTCATTAAGTTAAAAATCTTGGCCCTGGCTGGTGTGCCTCAGTGGATTGAGTGCAAACCAAAGGGTTGCCAGTTCAATTCCCAGTCAGAGCACATGCCTGGGTTGCAGGCGAGGTCCCCAATTGGGGGAGTGCAAGAGGCAACCACACATTGATGTTTCTCTCTCTCTCTCTGTCTCTTTCTCTTTCCTTCTCTCTAGAAATAAATAAAATCTTTAAAAAAAAATCCTGGTCATTACCAATTTTAGAAAGCATTCCACACACCTCTAAGAAGCAATCTTTTGTGCTCTGTGTTTCTATGAAAACCAAGATGGTTTTCTTCGGGGCATGACTCCCCAAGTTCCCTAACCTGTATTACTGCCCACTTTAAGAGATCTTAAAACCCAGAACTAAAGCAGCATGAAAGAATGGATGGGGAGAACCAGAGAGGACTCCAAATTCTTTCACTTTGCTGTAAGCAAGTTAGAATTCAACAATTTCTTTTTGGCATGTGAACTCTCCTAGCATGTTCTTACATAGTAGAAAAACATAGAACACACAATTCAACTGAGACTCTTCCACAGAAAGCATTTCAAAAGAATCGCAACGCTTCTGTTCCACCATAAGTATATTATTTTAAAGTACACTTGAAACTTTAAATGTGTACATATTCAGAGGTTTAAGAAACTTCAAAAGCCACAGATACAGAGTCTAGGAAGCTGAGGGCTGTGAACTTCGCTCCTCACTCAATCCGTGCTTAATTTTGCACTCCTCACAGGTAAGCAGGCAGTGCCTAGGACAGAAACAAAAGGAGAGGTTTGTGCTTTGAAACTGGAAGCTCTAGTCTTAACACAAAATTCCTATGATGAAGTTCACAGGCCTAATTTCTTAAGGGATAATAGGAGCTGTTTCTTGGTTTGAGACTGCCAGAATTTCATTTTTAAAAAAAGGCCAGTGTGGGGATTTACTGTGGGAGTCAGAAGGGCGAGCTGAGAGAAGGGGGACAAAGAGGGAAAAACTGAGACAAATATAATAGCATAAACAATAACATTTACATTTTTAAAAAGGCCAATAACGATCTTTGTGTCCAATGCTGTTTTCACAGTAGTGTGTTGCACCTCAAATAGAATCCACTGTTGCAAGTGAGGGTCTTTAGTGAAATGTGTCCCCAACACTAGTCCTCTAATACCATAGTAGAAACAGCTATTATTTACTGAGTACTTACTGAGTGTCATAAACAGTTACTTTTATTCCTTACAGGGTGTCCAACCCCCAGCCCTTGGGCCGTATATGGCCCAGGATGGCTATGAATGCAGCCCAACACAAAATTGTAAATTTACTTAAAATATCATTAATTTTTTTTGTGTGATTACTGTCGCAATATATTCAGTGTGTGGCCCAAGACAACTCTTCTTCTTCCAGGGTGGCCCAGAGATGCCAAAATGGTGGACACCCCTGACTTATAACATTCTGTGAAATCAATTCTGCTCACCATTTTATACAGATGAGAATTATACAGATTAGAGAGTTTAAGATACTCTTCCAAGGTTACATAGTTTATTTAGTAAGTGGGAGAACTGGTTTTCACCCCAGGTACTCTAACAGAAGAGGTAACGCCTTTAACTCCAGAGTCCTAACGCTTGTCTCCTTGAATGAAAACTGTGATATACAGTAAAGGCGCTGAAAAGTGCTGCAGTGAAGAAACCTGTTTAAATGTGGTGATAGCAGAAGCCATGACTGCTGATTAAGATATTCTGTTGAGACTTGCATAATGCCTTAAACATAGCCGGTACTCACTAAGTGTTTGTTAAGCAAACAAAAAAGGTAACTAAAGTAAGAAGTAATTATTATTGAAGTTGAATAGCAACAACTCAAACTTTGAGGGTTAAAGAGGCTTTTTCCCAACATGTAGGTATTAAGAAAAATCATTTAATATTATAAACGGTGAATGATTTTTTATTTACCTTTTTATAATTATTTTCATTACAATCCCTCAATCATGATTAACAGATTACAAACCTGTTATGCCCTGGACCAAAACCAGCCCCACGTAGCTGATCGTCAAGGGAATGGAATTTACTCTGGCACGCTCCTATGTACGACGCCTTTCCAAGGCCATACCCCAGGACACCAGCAACTGTAAAAGCAGGTTAGGGAAGATAAATTATATAAACGTTCAGAACCTCCTCCATTTGTTATCTTCCAGAATTTTCTTTATTAATAGTAGTAATTTTAAGTTTAAAAGAACCATGATCAATCAATGAACAAACACTCTGAGAATGAAGCGCCCTTTTAAAGAGCAGGTTTAGGAACTGGAGACTTTCTGACTCAGTTTTGAATTGGTGGTAGAAGGGCCAGGAGAGAACAAGCAAAGGTGTGACCCAAGCCAGGCAGCCTCAGGGAGGCCCAGCCATCAAACAAATGTCTGAGGCCACCGGGACATGGTGGAGGGGTGGGGGGAGGGGGCGGGGTTTGGGTGGGGCCTGTGGGTAGCCTCCAGGTCACTGGGTAGGAATTCTCTTTACGCATTGGAGTCTGGGGAGCTGCAGTGCACCCTGCTCGCTGCGGGAAAGAGGTCACCAGGCAGAGAAAACCTCCCAGGGAAGAAATCTCCCACCTGCTCTTCCTGCTGGGAATGAAGTTCAGACTGTGAAATGGAAAGCCTCCCCTCTGTACACAACAGGTCTACATATCATGAGTGGAAGAGGATGAAACATTGTTTGTGGTAGGTGTATTATTAGGAAGTCCCTGATTTTTAAACATGACTCATTATGTTTGCTATAAAAGCATATTTGAAAGATTGGCCAAAAGAAGGAAACGTAAGTCCCTAATGGATCTATCATTCTGAGGCTCTGCCGTAGATACCTTCTCGGGTATATTCGGCCAGCGCTCCTAGTCCATGCTTTACAGGGGACTGTCTAAGGGGCGGTCCCTGTTGCTTAACTTGATATCAGAAAGTGTTGTGTGAACTAAGAACCGTGAAGTGGCAAAAAATAAAGACTGATTTTTCAGAAAGTCAATGCAAGCATTTTGGTTAACCTAGACATTCATATCTCCAGTTGCTATAAACATCTTTTTAAAAAAAAAACTTTTTTTTTTTAACTTCTATGACTTACGTGCAACTTTAGGCAAAGATCCAAATCTTGGGTTAGCTGCTAAATAACCTAAGGAGTAATATATAAATACACTATTATTTCATTTTATTACATATTTAAATGTATAAAGTATAAAGAAGCCTTCAGAGTTCAACGTATACACACATTCTTAATCAGAAGAGATGACCCTAAAGAGTTATAATTCAATTCTTGATTGACTTTAACTCACACGTAGCCATTTTTGCCAAGTAGCAAGTGTTAGCTTTAATGTACAGAAAAAAAAATGAGACAATTCAAGAACTGTTTAAAGATACGAAGGCAAAGATGAAGTCAACAACTGATTTCCAAGCAATTAGTCACTGTCCTCTCTTCTTCTTATGCAACGCAACACAGAATTTCAACCTAGAGATTCACAGTGCCAGTCATACGTCACTTAACAACAGGGATGCCTTGTAAGAATTGTGTTATCAGTGAGCTCATCATTGTAGGAACTTCATAAAGTGCACTTACACAAACCTCGATGGCACAGCCGCCTACACCCCGAGGCTGTACGGTATCAGCTACTGCTCCTGGGCTACCAGCCTGTACAACATGTCACTGTGTAAAGCAACTCGAGGTAAAATCAAGCACGAGGAAAAGTGAAACAATCACGAGACACAGTAAACATGAGATGTAGGAGGCTGCTGCCAGCATAATGTGGAATACTGTTTTACAACAAACTTGTTTTATAAATAGGAAGAGAGCACTCTAAAATAATGATACAAAATATAGCATAGTAATTACACAAACCAGCAACATAGTTATTTACTATCATATCAAGTATGAGGTACTCTAAGGAATTGTTCGTGCTATACTTTCATACGACAGGCAGCGCGGCAGGCGCGTTTACACCTGCATCCCCTCGCGCGCATGAGAAACGCCTTGTGCTGCAACATCCTCACGGCTGTGATGTCGCTAGTCCAGAGGAATTTTTCAGCCCCATTGTAATCTTATGGGAGCACCAGTGTATATGCAGTCTGTCACTGACCGAAACGTTGTTATTTGACACATGACTGTGTATAAACCACAGTTTTTAAATAAAAACATTACAACCAGTGATAGAGTCACGGCCCCCTAAAGATGTCCACATCCCAATCCCTGGAAACTGTGACTATGTTACATTATATGACAAAGGGGAATCACGGCAGAAAATGGAATTCTGGTTAATCAGATGACGATAAGTAGGTGACCCTGGACCATTTGGGTGGGCCCAATGTAATCACAATGACCCCTGAAGGTAGGAGAGGGATTCAGAGACAGAACCAGAGAGATGGCAGCATAAGAAGAACTTGGCTTTGTAGCCAGAGGAAGGGGCCATGGGCCAAGAAGAAAAGTGGGCGGTCTCTAGAGGCTGGGAAGGGAAAGGAAGCCCGCGGGCCCCCGGAGGGGAATGTAGCCCTGCTTGCACTTGGGTGTCAGACCGGTGAGACCCATTTTGGACTTCTAACCTCCAGGGCTGTAAGCAAATGAATTCGTTTTGTTTTAAGCCACTAGGCTTGTGGCAAATTGTTATGGAAAACTAATACACAGCCCTGGAAAATTATATTTGCGCACATGCAAGAGATGATAGATTTTGAGAAGTTTAATATTTATAAAACATAATCCCTATTGATGTCGTGACCATATTTTTTTGTTGTCAAAAATGGTCTGATAAAGACTTATTACTGATTGATGAATATATTTCTATAAAAAGCCTATCTTTGAGTTATAAAAATGAAATCATATTTAATAAATCAAACTTAAATCCTTAAGAGAAGAATAACGGTGATTGAAATGGAAATCTCCTAGATAATGACATGTGGTCTTCGAGACTCCAAAGAGAACTAGATTATCTCTCACGTTTGCAGGGTACATCAACTCTTTGTAAAATCCTGGTCATCAGCAGTGTTCAATATAATGGGCTTCAACAGGGTCAGGTGCCTTTCCGCTACTTGGGAACTAGGCAATGCCTCTGGGTCTTCTGGTGAGATGGAGTCAGGGAGAAAGAAGAGAGCAAGAAAGGAAGAATAGAGAGACAAACTGAAAAAGCATAAGAGGCCAGGAGAGGTTATGTGGGGAGATGCAGGGCGGCTCCTCGTCCTCGCGATCTGTTGTACGAATTAGACAGGGCGCCCTTCCTTGGGCAAATGCAGCCTCTCACCAGGACAAATGGCCTGCAGGGCAGAGCTTGGTGGTGTTCAGCCCCACTTACTTCGTCCCTGGAGCATCCTTATACAGGGAACATTCTGCCTAACATATACTGAGTCCTTGGGAGACACAGGGACTCTAGTACAGAGAAAGGCACTGTATTAGTTTCCTGTGGTTGCTCTAACAACTTACCACAAGCTTGCAGACTTAAACCAACACCTTATATCTTATAGTTCTGGCAGTCAGAAGCTCAAAATGGGTTTCACTGGATGTCTTAGTCTGTTTGAGCTGCTATAACAAGACTGGGGGGCTTATAAATGACAGAAATTTACTTCCCACAGTGGCTAAAGTCCAAGATCAGGGTGTCAGCATGGTGGGTGAGGTTCCTGTTTGGGTTTGCAGACTTCTTGTGGCAGAAAGGGCTAGGGAGCTCTGAGGGGTCTCTTTCATAAGAGCACTACAATTCTTTTTTTTTTTTTTTTTAATTTTATTTATTTCTAGAGAGAGGAGAAAGGAGGGGGAAAGAGAAGGAGAGAACCATCAATGTGTGGTTCCTCTCATGTACCCCCAACTGGGGGCCTGGCCCCAACCGAAGCACATGCTCTGATTGGGGATTGAACCAGAAACCTTTTGGTTCGCAGGCCAGCGCTCAATCCACTGAGCCACACCAGCAAGAGCACTACCGTTCCTGAGAGCTTCACGCTCAAAGGCTAATTACCTCCTAAAGGCCTCACCTCCTAACACTGACACCTTTGGGTTTTAGGGTTGTAACATGTGAAACTGGGGGAAAACGGGGGGACACAAACATTCAGACCACAGCAGCGGGCTAAAACCAAGGGGTCAGCAGGGCTGCACCCCTTTCTAGGGGCTCCAGGGCTCCCTGCCTTCCAGCTGCTGGAGGCCACTCACATCCCTGGACTCGGGATTCCTGGCCCCTTCTTCCGTCCTCAAGCCATCTCGGTGGAGCTGAGTCCTTCTGATGGTGCCATCTCTCTGGTTCTGTTTTCTGATCCAACTTTTAAGGACCCATTTGATGACACTGAGTACATCTGGATAATCCAGAATAATCTCCGTCGTTTAAGGTCAGCCAATTAACAGCCTTTCCATCTGCAACTTTAATTTCCCTTTGCCACGTAACCTAACACAGTCACACATTCTGGGGACTGGAACAACTTCCAGAGGGGTCGGGGGCGGGGTGGGGTTGTGCTGAAAATAGGCAATGTTTCCCTAAAGAAATTCTTCACCACAAAATAAATGCCAAACACCAAAAAAGTAGCCAGGAGGGCCGCAGAAAACTGGGCTCTCTTCAGTGAAATCATTGAACAAACGTTGGACCTTACCTTGATGGACTAGTCCTTGGGTAACAAGCATGCTTACAAGAGAAAAAGGCAGAGCTGTAAAACAAAAAGTTCCTTCAATACTGGCATGTTAGAACTCGGCACCGCAGCTAGAGCACAGGCAGAAGGAATCGCTCTTTGTTTTTGCTCTTACTTACCTTGGCAATGACTTTTCAGTCACTTGTTATTTTACGGATTCAACATGTATTTACTAAGTACCACCTAAGAATTTTCTTGGGGTCTGTCCCAGGCACTGAACAAACCTATAGCCCATGGACCCCTCTCTGACGTGCACTTGACCTGATGCCCACCATGCACCAGGTTCTGCTCACTACATCCAACACAGGCATCTCCGTGCGTGTGTGGACACGCAGCTGTTGAATTTGGGAGTTGCCTTTAACTATATATTTTGAAATTTTCCATCCTACATTAAAATAAAAAACCAGTACAAAAACTCCTGCATATCCTACCTAGGATAGCTGTCTGCTTTTCTCTTTCGTGACATTTTGTTGTACAATCTGGATATGTCTATTTTCTGAGGATTACAAGATTACTACATTCATGTTAAACATGGGTGATGCTTAGCTGTGATTTTTAAAGCAGGCAAGTTAGTCTGGAAAGGGTGGTTTCTAGTTCTGTCAAAATGCATCAGAGGACTTCTTCTAGCAGAGAGCAGTGATAAACATCTAGCTCTTCCTAGCAACCAAAACACATTAAAGAGCAACCAATCTTTGCACTCATATCCACCTCATGGTAGGCAAATGGGCCATACTAAAATGTTAATCTACTAGGGCTTAATTAAATGACTTACTCATAGGTTGTCAGAAAAGACATGAATTGTTAGGAGCACAATCATCGTAGAACTGCATGATGAATAGCAACTTCTAAAGAGTGTTTCTTTCAAAACAATTGATACTGAATTTGAATGATTTGAGAAATCAAAATGAGGGTTTCAAAGTAAAATTATCCCCGTGTCAGCAATGTTGCAAACATCGGGACTACATAGGCTCTATTATGACATTTTCAAATGACAAATCATGAATTTTTTAAATTGGAAGAGACCTTAAAGCAAAGCCTGAATTCACACCCTTGTCTTCTTTATATAAGGCAGGCGGAGAAGGGAGAGGACTCAGCAGGAAAGGTTATTTCAGAGACATTGTTGGAGGAGTGCTAATGGATGCTGCCAATTTCCACTCATTCCACAAATACTGACTAGGTCCTTTCTATATGTGAAGCACCGTGCTTGGCTCTGGGATGAAGCGATAAAAACTGAAATCATTTCTGAACTCAATGAGGTTAGAGTCTAGCGGCATTTAGGAAAGTTTAATCTTTCAAAACATTTTAAACAACACTCTTAGTACGCATTCTGCGTCACAGGAAAGAAAGTGTTATATGCAAATCACGTCTCAGCTGCGGTAAAACGCTCCAAATCAGATATTACCTGTGCCCTTAAAAGGGGCCTCAACATGGATTTAAAATTTAACACCCAGATATCAAAGTTCTTCAAGGAATTGTGCAAAGTCCCTGCTTAAAAATAAATCATTACCATAATTCTAATATGATACTGAGGCAGCGTATTGAAGCACATAAGAGTGTTAACAAAAGGTTAAGGGTGTGCAATTTACCTCTCTTCCAGAAACTTTCTTCTTGACACTCTTTGATAATCTTTGAAATCTCCCCTCTGTGGATGTGCAGTTTTGACTTTGGACAAAACAACAGGCTCTGTAAGGGAAGTTCTATGGTGAGTCGACTGAAATCATCTGAAAAGCATCCGCTGTTTTCTTGGAGGGAGGCAGCACGATTTCTCCACCCTGGTCATGCAGTGTGTCACTCTGTGCTGGCTGCTGCGTGCACAGAGCAGTGACTCGGTTCAGCGAGGGCCTTCCAGCTGGGAACACTGGAGGGACTAAGGCAAGGAAAAAATCCCAGCTGGAGAAGCAGAGAGTGACCCATTGACTACAGAGATCTGGTCAGATAGAATTCCTGCAGAGGCCGTGTTTTCTTTCTCACCTCCAGCCACTGCCCGGGCTGCCTGCGATTCTGCAGCGCTCCCCTGCTCCTGAAGACTCAGTTCTGCGTGGCCTCCGGAGTGAAGAAAGAGTCCCATACAGCACACTGTTCACACACTCCGAGCACTGGATTACAAGCTTTGTGTTTACAGACCTATCTTCTAATTTACCTATTTATGCTTCTGTATGCACTGTGAGACTATGAAATCACCAGCAGACTGCTGTGTATTTTTTCTACATAGTTTCCTTTTTATCTTGACAGTTTTTTTATGTATTTTATAAGTGGTCTGCACATAATTTCTGGTGGACTGATTGATACATTTGACGTAATTACTTTTATTAGTTCTACAGTATTTTTTTATCGTGTTGATAAGCTATAATCTGGACTAATGCCCATCTTTCATGATCTTCCTCCTTTGTAGATATGTCTGCATTATTCAGTCTTATCCGCATTCTCTACTCCCATTCCCCTTGCCCATCACCACCATGCTGGGTATTTAAGGTGGATCTTTCGCATGGATGCATTCTTGCAAAATATTCCTTGTTTTGGGTGTATGCATCTTTTTAATGTAAATGGTATTGTGTTATATATTTAATTTTATTTTAAAAAATATTTTTAACTCACCCTGGCTGGTGTGGCTCAGTGGATTGACTGCTGGTCTGCAGACCGAGAGGCCACCGGTTTGATTCTTGGCCAGGGCACGTGCCTGGGTTGCAGGTTAGGTCCCCCACTGGGGGCGTGCGAGACGCAACCGATTGATGTTTCTCTTGCACATGGATATTTCTCTCCCTCTCTTTCTCCCTCCCTTTCCCTTTCTCTAAATATAAATAAATAAAATTAAAAAAATTTTTTTAACTTGTCCCCTTTAAGGTCCACCCCTTTTGCTATATTCATCGAGTCCACTGCTTCTGTCACATAATCCTCCAGGATGCATCCAAGTCCCCTTGGCACATGTTTCCTACAGACCCACACGAGAACATTTCTCAGCTATGTATCTAAAAGTGAAATGTATGGCACGCACACTTCCAAATTTGACTAAGCCTTGCTACACCGCTCTCCCCAGTGGCTGCGCCAGACCCACTCCCCCCAGCAGTGCCTGGATGTCCCGCTAGGCTCACAGAGCCTGCATAAGGCCACTTATGCTGGATTGCAAGTGGTTAAAGAAAGGATTTTCTAACCTTGGCATTATCCAGTTTTCTAAACTTTGACAGTTAATAGGTATAAAGTAATAACTTATCGTCTTATTTGCATTTCTCTGATAACTAACGTGTTTGAGCATCGCTACCTACTCTTCAGCCAGACTGCCCCCGTCTGCCCTAGTGTTGAGGTACCACATTCCTGCACCTGGCCCCGGGCTCTCATTGATTGTTATGTATTGGCTCACTAATTTTTTATCGTGGTAAAATACACATACCATAAAATTTACCATTTTAGCCATTTTGAAGGACACAATTCAGTGACATCAAGTACATATGTCCATAATGTTGTGTGGCCATCATCTCTATCTAGATCTAAAATTTTTTCATCACCCCTAAAAGAAAACTCCTACCCAATAAGCAGTCTCTCTTCATTCTCTCTGCCCTTTACCCCCTGGCAACCGTTAATCTGCTTTCTGTCTCTGTGGATTTGTTTGTACTGTAATTTTATGTGAATGATACCCTCTAATAGATGACTTTTGGTGGCTGGCTTCTTTTCCTTAGCATGATGTTTTCAAGGTTCACCCATGTCACAGCATGTACCAGTACTCATTCCACTTTCTTATAGAGTATCCCATTGCACAATTTGTTCACCAGTTCATCTATTGATGAATATCTGGGTTGTTTCCACCTTATGGCTATTGTGAATAGAGCCGCCATGAACATTCTTGTATAAGTTTTTGTTTGAATACGTCTTTAATTTGACTGGGCCATGTGGTAATTCTATGTTTGACCAACTGAGGAACCACCAAACTGTTTTCTACAGGGGTCGCACCATTTTACAATCCCACCAACAAAGTATGAAGGTTCCAATTTTTCTACATCTTTGTCAACACTTGTTATTTTCTGTTTTTTAAAAAAATTATAGTGATGTTAGTGGGTGTAAAATGGTATCTCATGGTGGGTCTGATTGCATTTCTTTAATACTAATGGCACTGAGCATCTTCTCATTTGCTTTTTGGACATTTACTTATCTCCTTTGGAGAAATACCTATTCAAGTCCTTTGCCCATTTTTTTAACTGGGTCATTTGTCTTTTTGTTGTTGAGCTGTAAGAGCTCTTTATGTATTCTGCATACTAAAACGTTATCAGATGTGTGACTTGTAAATAATTTTTCCCATTCTGTGGGTGGTTCACTTGTATTTTTAAAAAACAAATTTTATTTAATTTGTTCTTACTAAAAAGTCACATTTGTACTTCCTTGGTTGTGAATTATTTATGTAGGTTCTCTGCCATTTACCTCGGGGAGTTTTAATGCATTTCTTGTTGAGGTGCAGCTCCTTGGCGTTTGAGATTTACCTTGCTGATTTTGCCTATGCTCTTTTTGGAACTTTTTGGTAGTGGATTTCAGTGTGGATAATGGTCGCCTTTTCTTGAGCACCTTCCCACAGGCCAGGCACTGGACCAAGCACTTTACACGCATGATCACTAGGCAGAAGGCCCCTGTGGCACCTGTGCCTTCAGAGCTCTACAAGCAACCAAGCAGGTGACCTCTCTCTTCTTTCCCCACAATTCCCCACAGCACAGTCCACAGAGGTGGGGGTCAGAGTGAGTCACAGCAACGAGGGGCTGTTCCCACTCACCACTCCCCTTAGCTCCTTGGCAAGCACTGCTTCTTATCCCAATGTGAATTCTCCTCTTGGTTCTGCCTGGGCTGAGGCAGAGATAAGGAACACTTTCCTTCCTCCCGTCCTCCACACACATCCAGGGTCAGGGACCCTGACTCTCACAAAGACTGTGAGTCCTGTGGTCAAGATTGAAGCTCCTTCAAAACCTCCCTAGTGGAGCTCTGGTGATCCTTTTCTATACAACTGTAAATGTTTTATGGCTCTCCATTTCACAAAGGCAACTCAGGTGTCTAAATACTTCTCCTTGTGACTTGATATCATTTGTCTGTTTGCCTCTTCTAAATATCACCTCCTCCATAATCTAATTTAACTTGAAAAGTTGACCCCAGAGAACATAAATTTTATTTACACACCAAAACACTTTCTCTTTTCTTCATATATGTGTGCCTGAAACATATAATATTCATTCTTGACAAGTTGAAAAGTTGAGTTCTCAATCTGATGGCTAACGCAGTGGTTAAAGAACCTCAGTCAGCAGCATGCGTTTAGGAAGGTTAGCCTTGGTAACGAAATGTAAAGACAAGCATCACGTATCTTTCTGTTAGATTCAATGAAGAGTTTTGCTCTGCTAAGGAAAGCCTCTTCAGTCACTGACATCCTATGCAAGAGTTGCTTAAGCTGGATGCTAAATACAGAAGAGTAAAGAAAGGATTTTGTAAATAAAAATTTAAAAGATGCTTTTCAAGGCAGTCAGAAACACACTTTTCTTCCCCGTTTCATTTTCCCTGAACCCATCCAACAAAGTGCCAGTCTGAAAAAAGGAAGATGACTGGTCAAGGATGAGGTTTAAAGGAAAGTTCTGTATGATGCTCCCCTTTAGATGGCAACCTAAAAATATACCTGCTGGCTTGGTGGTGGCAAATGACGAGGTTTATCATGGTTTCCATGAGTTGACTCTGATGCCATGACGACTTGGTCTTTGCTTCTCTTCTAGTTGCGTTTACTCAGCTGACTCGTGGACCCAACGTCTAAGGAAAGTAGAAGAGGCTCACTGGGCTGTGCCTAAATGTTCATATCAACCTTAAAAACACCCTTAAATGTCAACTCACCTCTTTGGAAAACTTGCTTTCATTTTGTCATTAGTCAATATCCAACCCCCTGCAAACTTACTTTCTAATGCTCCTCCCCCGACAAAGACAAGTACGAAATGTCACACTATGAATATTTTTCACACTATGAATTTATAGGTAGTGAATTGTTTTACTGCCTATAAATTGTGTCCTAAAAGGAGTTTCAATTCATTATAAGGAAGGCCATTAACTACACAAATATTTACTGAGTGTCTATTAGGTACCAAGCCAGGGGACAATAAGAAGGATAAGGCAAGCTCAATGCAAAAGGAACTCACAGTCTAAAAGGGAAGACAAAAGTCAGCAGTTCCCCCACATGCTGAGGGCGCCCCTAGAGCTAGCTAAGCCAGGGTGCTAAGGAAGGAGAGGAAGAAAGGTCTAATCTCTTTGGTCAGGTCACACCAGGGATTAGGACTTGAGCTTGTAGAGGGTGGATGGGCTTCCCAGCATAAAAACCAGTTTGAAAAGTGCTGTCGTAGTCCAGGCAAGGAAGTGCAGACACCTGAACCAACACCCTGGCTGGAAGCATAGACATGCCATATCTGAGTTTGAAAATGTTGAATTAGAGTCCCCGTGCATGCGTGCACTGGGAGGAGTCAATAGGGTGTAGAATATTTGAGGATTTGAGCCTGGCCTTAGAGATGAAGAGGAGCCAGGAAAGATGAATTTGGCAGCTGCCAAACTCATGATAGGTAAAGCAAGAAACAAACAAAATTCTCTAAAAAGAGTATTAGACAATGTGAACATTGCGGCCAAATGAATACCAAGTGAAGAGAAAAAAAAAGACCAAGGAAATGACAGGAAAAAAAAAAAAAAGCTAGTTCAGAGGGGAGGGAATGAAGGAGGGAATGAATCATTGGTGTCACATGGCTCAGAAAAGTGATTAGGCAATGGTGGACATGGTCCAGGTGGACTATGAGCCCCCACTTGGCCAATGGTCACCATGCTCTGCAGTCTTGGACTCCATGACTACCACTGATTACCCTGCAAAGCGAACATCTTATTATAAGCAATTCTGCTTCCTGCTAAACTGCCAGGCATATGAGCCAAGGGGGTCATTATCTATACCAACTTTCACCTTAGGTACCTAATGTTATTGTAAAGATAGCCTGATGCCCTGTAGCAGACAGTCCTGGAATCAGAAAGACCTGAATTCAGATCCTGCCTCTACTTCTTGCTAGCCCTGTGCTTTGGGGCAAATGATTGGATGTGTCTGTACCTAAGCTTTCTCGCCTGTAAAGTGGGAGTAATGGGCAAGCAACCTTGAGGGGCTGTTGCAAGGATGAGGATGAAGGATGAGGTCCTTAAGCCCCAGCTCAGCACCCAGCACCCAGTGCACAGTGAGCGTGTAAGCAGTAAAGAGTGGACCTGGGCACCTTAGTTCTTGAAGGTCTCCATGAAGTCTTTGGTGACCTAAGGCCCTAGTCAGGGTGAGGACATTGCCTTAAATCAAGAAGCAAAGATACACATCTCAGGTTTGGTGGTCAAGTCCCCTGCACCCAACTAATCATCAGTCCACACCTACGCAAAACTTCTGAGGGCCTTGGCTTCCAGGTGCAGCTCCTACCACTAGGCCCGGGTCCCTCTGCTTCTTGAGGGTGGGGAAGGAGTGCGGACAGGTGGGCAGTGGGACCGAGGTACGCAGCAGGATCAGGGTGGGGGCGCGTGGTCGGAGGGACAGCCCGAGGCGGGTCACCGCACTCTCTGATGGGGGGAGGGATCCCAGAATCAATCTGCCGGCATCCGCTGCCACCCCGAGTCAGAGGCCTCCTGCACGACTCCAAGCCCCCCGACCTCACCCAGGTCCCGGCCCGAGCCCGGGCCAAGTGGAGAGGAGTTGGCAGGGGCGGTTCTAGGCGGCCGATGCTGGCCCGCGCGGCCCGAGCGGCCTGCGAAGTGCCCCAGTTCCGGAGGACCCCCGGAATACAGCGGCCAGAGGAGGCCACCTTCTCTTCGCCATCTCTCCCGCTGTCACCCCCACGCAGGCTCACCTGCGAGGCGAGGATCGCCTCCCAGGCCGCGCGCCTCCCGCGCCCGCAGAGCGGAGGCCGAATCCCTCAGCCGCCGGTGGCACAGCCGGACCGTTGCCGGTCTCCCCAGCGCCAGCCCCTGCCCGCCTCGGCCCGCGGGAGCCCCAGGGCACCTCACCTCTCTTCTCCGAGCTCTAGCCTTCTCCTCTAGCCTTCTCCTTCCTCCTCTTGCTCCGCCCCCTCCGCTCGCTGCTTCTCACTCAATTGGTGCACCCCTATTCCCTACCTTGCAGCCCCTTCCTCTGTCGGTGGCTTTAGCGCCCACTCTCAACTCTCAGGTGCAAACCCGGCTCTTGCTACAAACTCCCACCCCACGCTCAAGAATTGTCCTGACATCTTCTAGACCCAACTCCTTGATGTCTTTCAAATAACTCTTTTCCTCTGGTCAATAGTGAAACAATAATTTACTAAACACCCTCCCTGGGCTTGGCATTGACCTTCACTTATCTGCAATCCTTTAAAAAAAAAAAAAAAACTGATATACAATCGACATAGAACATTATATTAGTGTTAGGTGTACAACATAACAATTCCATATTTGTATACATTGCAGAACGATCACCACAGTGCGTCTAGTTAATGTCCGTCATTATACATAGTCACCTAGTTACCCCCTCCCCAATTTCCCCCCCTTGAAATGAGGACTTTAAAAATTTACTCATTTGTTTTCCCTTTAAGATTTCATTTATTTATTTTTAGAGAGAGAGGAAGGGAGGGAGAAAGAAGGGGAGAGAGACATCAATGGAGAAAGAAACGATCAGTTGCCTCTCATTCGTGCCTGATCCAGGACAGAACCTGCAACCCGGGCATGTGCCTGATGGGAATGAAACGAGCAACCTTTCAGTTTGCAGGACGGTGCCCAATCAACTGAGCCCATTGGCCAGGGCAGAATCTACTCTCTGGCAACTTTCAAATATGTAATGCAGTATTATTAATTATAGTCACAGTGCTGTCCATGACATCCCCATGATTTATTATGCACCTGGAAGTCTGTACCTTCGGACTCCCTTCACCCGTTTCCCCTGTCCCCATGCAATCCTTTCTTCAACCTTTTAGCGTGAGCACCATTATCCTCTTTCAATGGACTAGGAAGCTGAGTTGTGCAAGGTCACACTGGGAGTTAGCAGTCAAAGCTGAGTCAGCTCCGTCCCAGGCTTTCTCTAGCTGCCTTTCTTTGTCCCTGCCCTCTAGTCTCCTGCCACTCCCAGCCCCTGACTTGTGGGGGGAACGTGCTGGTGCCTTCACCTGTGTTGAGTTCAAAGAGAGGTTGTGGACCACACGAACCACACGGAAGGGCCTCATTCTTTCTCACCTTTTCCTACTATTGACATTGGCCTCTATGCCTTTTCCCTTAGCCCTTCCACCATTCTCACCCCTTCGTTGCTTCTTCCAGCCATACACCAGAGCCTCCTCTCTGTTTCTCATGTTCACCCGGCTTTTTCTACCAGGGCCCTGGCAGGGAATCCTGCCTGGGGTCCCCTCCCCATCAATCTTGTCCTGGTGTTTTCCTACTCATCCTTCTCTGCCCCTTCCTCCGGAAGACTTGCCCTGACGCCCTGCTACTCAGCCTAAAGGAAGGGCTCTCTTCTCTTTCATAGCAGGATGCTCTGCTGTGTTGTTTTCTTTCATGGCACTTATTGCAAGTTGTCATTATGTACTTGTTAGGGTGTTCATTTGTTTCAAGGCTGTTTCCCCTGGTTCAGAGTAATGTTCACGAGCTACAGAACAAGATGGTGTCTGTTTTGTTCACTGCTGTATACGAATATAGGAAGGACAAAGCATTTGGACAAATGAATGAGTGAGCCTGGCTTTGAGGCTGTTTGTCAATGTACTATTGTTTTGGAGGATCCACATCCTTAGTACATCCCCCAGACCACGTTCCTCCAAGTGATTCACTGGTTTCCTTTCACCCTTCTTCCCCCTCCAAATGCAAGGGGATATTGTTCTCTTGCTAATTTTACATTGTGTTACTAGAAGTCAGAAATAACCCTTTGGCATTTTGTGGTCTGAAAGGAACAGTTTCCTCACCGGGTTTGTGATTAAAATGAACAGCTCTCCATTACACAGAGGACTAACTTCCAACAAATACACCAAGGGCATTTGTCCTTTAGTCCATATCCCTGTCTTCATTGGTGCTTTCCACCAGAATGTTCCAGTTAATTGCCTTAACTAACTAGAATTTAGTACTATGTAGTGCACACAGATCATATGAATCCATCTCTTGGTATTTGTTGGACAAATTTGGTATGTGCGTGTATTGTTCCAGGCACTTTCAGAGGTAAGAGGAAAAAGGCAAGGGTCCTTCCATCAAAGGATTTATCACTTCCCAAAGAAATAATAAAATAAAATAAAATAAAATAAAATAAAATAAAATAAAATAAAATACATTTGATCTTAGAAGTATAGAATACTGAAGAGAGCCTTTCTTAAGCTAGGCGTTAGCTTCCTACTGGCCTCAGGGTCATGACCACAGAGTTGATTATCATTGGCTAGTGCTATGAAAAATGAGACTATTTTAGTGCCAAAGTGCTCATGGCAGGCTGCAGCTTGAATTATTTCCATAGCCCTGTACTGTCCTCTGACAAGATCCGAATTCATTAGCAGGGCCCTGTATGATTCAGCTCCTGCCTGCCTCTCCAACACATCTATCTTAGGCTCTCCAAGGGCCTCCACGTGGCTAACGTTCTTCCTTCTCGTTCTTTTGCATGTGCTGGAGTTGTAGCCTTCCTCTCATTCTCCATCCCTCTCTCTTTTCTTCTTTTTGTTTTTAATTTACACCTAAGGACATGCTTACTCATTTTAGAAAGGGGAGAAGAAAGGAAGAAGAGAGAGAGGGAAAGAAACATCAATGCAAAAGAGACACATCGATTTGTTGCCTCTTATAATCAGGAACCAAACCTGTAATCTAGGCATGCGCCCTGACCAAGAATTGAACCTGCGATCTTTTGGTTTACAGGATGATGCTCCAACGAACTGAGACACACCGGCCAAGAATCTCTTATTCTTAAAAGACAAATACAGAAGCACGGACAGCAAGGGAGGGAGAGGGACCCAGACAAGGAGTTTGGGGGAGGCAGGAAAGAGTACTATGCCATGTGGCTAGCTAAAGACCCAGCCCTAGGGGGGAAGGAGTGGGATGAAAAACAAAATGCAGGTAGGAATCTAGATCACCGCCATAGGAACTCTGGACTAACTCACAACCACCTCTCCCCTGCTGGTAAGGCGGCTCTGGCTGGTTTCCTGGTGGGGAGCTTTCCTGGAGCGTGAGTGGGGCGTGGGGCATCTTGGCAGCCAGTGAAGCCCTCACCTTCCACTTGCCACCTTTTCTGCCCCAGCTCTCCACTTGCCATCTGCCTGGCTCTGGAAGAGACTCTGTGAATCACAAGATCCCATGAGTCACTCATTGCATCCCTAAGGAGTAAATAACGTCAAATCTCACAAAAGCAGAGCCGTCAGATATAAATGAGGTGACACTCAAAAGATGGAGCTCGGGTTCTGCTTTCCTTCATGAGCTGGCACCGCCGTCACGTCAGGCATGTTGCCAGCTCAGCTTCAGCTTTGGGGCCATTGACCCAGAGCTTTGGCTGCTTTCGGCTCATCTGGATTTGATATTCAGACAGCCAGACTCAGCAGAGACAAAGCAGGCTCCGAAGAGCATGACTTTGGCCCAAATGGGGAAAATCTAAAATATGAAGATGAGTATACATTGATTCGGTTGTGTCTCAAGTGCTATTTGAGACAGGCTTCTCCTTTATCTCACTCACGAATGGCGCTAACAGATATCCCTAGAGTACCTCTAGTACTTTAATATTCCAGAGCTGCTTGCCATAGCCTACGACATGCAAAGCCCTTGGAATACACAAAACAGAATGCTTCTGAAGTAGCAGAGAGAATATGGTCAAGCAGAGACCAGCAATGTCTTGCGGCAGATATTTTGACTTCATTCCAAAAGAGAATTGTCGTCTTTGTTTCCTGCTGTCTGCCCCAAGCCTATCTCTAGAGCAGTCTCCCCACATGTATCCACCATTATAGTCCATACAGGGTTGCTTCACTGCCCTAAAAATCCTCTGTGCTATTCATCACCACCTTTTCCAGAATGTCATATAGTTGGAATCCTATGGTATGTAGCCTTTTCCGATTGGCTTCTACTTAGTAATATGCATTTAAGTTCCCTTCAGGTCTTTTCCTGGCTTGATAAACCCATTTCTTTGTAGCTCTGAATAATCCATGTCCAGACATACCACAGTTTATCGCTTTTCTACTGAAGGATATCTCGGTTGCTTCTAAGTTTTGGTAGTTATGAACAAAGCTACTATAAACACCTGTATGCAGGTTTTTGTGAGGACATAAGCTTTCAACTCCTTTGGATAAATACCAAGAAGCATAATTGCTAGTCATACGGTAAGAATGTGTTTAGTTTTGTAAGAAGCTGCCAAACTGACTTCCAAAGGGCCTGTACCATTTTGCATTCCCTCCAGCCACGAATGAGAGTTCCTGTCGCTCTACATCCTTGCCAGTGCCTGGCAATGTCAGTGAAGATTTTTACTTCTGAGAGGAATCCTTTAGTTATCCTCCTCAGCCCTCCTCACCCGATCCACTTTCCTCAGCAGTAGGAAAACAAGCGTTAGTTTCTTGGTCGCGCACTTTGAAGGGTTGTTGGAGCTTTAGCTGCACCTGTTTCAGGTAGTACAACTTCAACTTCCCTCTTCAGGGCACCTCTCAGGGCACTTGCACACAGAGTACACCCTACTGCCACTCCCAGCCACCTGCGCTCTTTGGTAGCAAACTCATAATTAATACTTACTTTTCAGGTCTCATTGGAGACAGCTGTAGACTAGGGATTTGGGGCATAGACTCCAGAACCACATGGCTTGGGTTCCAATTATAGCCCTGCTGTAAATCTATATCTACATATAAATAATTACTTGAAACAGTGCCTGGCATGTAGGTATGCAGTGCTGTTTAAGTGCTCATCACCACCTTCTCCAGAAAAGCCCTCCCTAGCCTCTGGTGCAGGGACCCCTCCTGTGTGCTCTACTTTAGTGACCTCTTTATTTGCCTCTATTCTAA